CCATCCAGGTTGCTGCGAAATTCATGATTTTGTTCTTTTTTATGGCTGCGTAGTATTTATTGATAATTTTTATGTTGTTCTTTTTAGTTTTTCTCTGTTGTCTGTGTTTTTGGCAATACTTGCATTATTTTATGATTATTTTACTTTATGATTAAAAAATAATACATCTATTTCCATTTTCTTTTTTTTCTGGTTTTTTTTTTCCTTTTTTTATTTTTAAAGATGTGGGGTACAATTCAGTTTTAGGTAAGTGATCATTGTACAGGTAAAGTTTGAGCCTCTCTTTGGTCTCTACTTTGCCTGGTTCAAGATCGGGTACCTTTACTGATGTTATATGTTTCCCACCTAACCCTGTCGTGGCAGTCTCTCACTACTGCCAATCCCTTTCTTATAGTATTATGATAATGTGCAGGGTCCACTTACGAGTGAGTACATGTGGTACTCAGATCTTTGTTTCTGTGATAGATCACTGAGTATTATAGACTCTAACTTATTTCCATTTTCTTGAAGCAAAAGAACCTATGCTAAGCCAAACTGTTTTGTAAATGTTTGTGTAGTGCTAACTCACTAAGATGTACAACAGCAGCAATAAAAAATTTCTTAGGCCACCTGGGCTAGTTGTCAATATGGGAAACTAGTAAAATATTCTCTGGGCTTGAGTAGCAATTGTGTAGTGGCAGATGTCATGAAGTTTAATCACTAATGTCCTTTTGACACACCCTGGGTCCCTAAGTGAAATCACTTGACCTTTTTGTTACTTCAGCTTCACCATTGATGAAAAGAGAATAATACTACCTTTCACTAGTTTTTTTAAAAGAATAATAACTCTGGTTTAAAGTATTTGGAGTCCCCAGGAGAAACCATGGTTATTATAAGCAATTTAATATTTGGGTCATTTAGAAACTTGGACACAAGTATTTTCAGGGAGTGCTCAAAGGATTACAACAAAAAAGGACATTCTGGACAATTCTTGGCTTCTAGATCCAAAGAACACAGTACACACCCTGAAGAATTAGAAGACAGCCGGGCTCGGTGGCTCAGCCGGTAATCCCACGCCTTTGGGAGGCTGAGGTGAGTGGATTGCCTGAGCCCGCGGGTTCAAGACCCGCCTGGGCAGCGAGACCTCATCTCTACAATAAATCAAAAAATCAGCCGGGCGTGGTAGCGCATGCCTGTAATTCCGGCTACTTGGAAGGCTGAGGCGGAAGGATCGCTGGAGCCCAGCAGGTCGAGGCTGCGGTGGCCGGGAGCGGCCACTGCACTCCAGTCTGGGCGACAGAGTGAGACTCCAACAACAACAACAAAAAAAGAATTAGAAGACAAATTCTTCTCTAATTCTCTGCCCAAACTCCCCTCTGATCTCTTATGATCAAAGAATTATTCAATTGGGAGTCATAAACTTATGTGACCACTATCGAACAGACTGCTCAGAGCTATTTTAGAAGCTATTAAAATCAGGTAAACACACTGCCTGAAGATTAGCCAGGTGCAAAAACAATAGCTTCCATCTCTCCACCTCTTCTTGAGGCAGGCCCAGAGGATTTCAGGCATGCTCCTGAGTAATGTCATCATGTGCTAATGAAACAAGGAAGTGCTAAATTCCCTCTCTCCATTCCCTGACCACGGCCCTAAATCAGCCTGATAGGGTAAATAGTTAATGTGAAGCTGGGTGTCAGACAACAGGAGGGTGAGGATGTAGGAAGTGAGAGTGCATGCCTCATTGAAAGGACAGCCTGCAGCTACTTGGAAGGTTGAGGTGGAAGGATCACCGGAGCCCAGCAGGTCGAGGCTCCAGTCTGGGCAACAGAGTGAGACTCCAACTCAAAAAAGAAAAAAAAAGAAAGGACAGCCTGTGCACCCTGTCCCACTGTTGCCATGGAGGAATCTGAATCCAGGCTGATCAGATTTTCTATTTTCCCAGAATTTTCATTTTTTGAAAGAAAAAGGAAACTCAAATGTACAGGTGAAATCTGTTTTCCTAACCTATGCGAACCAAACAATACATGTCTTAAGGCCAGGTTCTGCTCCAGGGCTGCCAATCTGCGACTTTTGCTGCAAATTGTGGAGAGCTTCCCTCTGTAGCTAACACTAGTTCTGCTGTGGGGCTGGTGTTAGTCACTTTAGCTCACTATTTTCAAATCCATGGTACAGCAGTACAGAAGGTCTCATTGTATCCTAAATGCATGCAACCTGTCCATCTCTCTGTTAGCTTGTCTGTCCCTGGTAGACAGTGAGAGTGGAGTGGGAGCTAGACTCAGAAAGTCTTGCATCCTACCTAGGTTTTGCCATTTCATAGATTTATAAAATTGGGGATGTTACTTAACTCCCTTAAACTTGTTCCTGCAAAAAAGGAAGAGACTCCCCTCAGTATATCTCTGAAAGGATTATGCCAAGAATTGAGTAAAATAATGTATCTAACAGTGCTTTGTAAAAACAAACTACTAAACAAGATTGTCAGTTGAACAATAAATATTTACAGAATGCCTGCTAAGCAGGTGTTTGTTACATGCTGGAGGCTACAGTTGAGCAAATCAAACATAATCCCTGCCTTCATGAAGCTCACTCATATAATAACCCCGAGTGAGCAGTGTTGTGAAAGTGAATTCCAGGATACTTAAGGAATGAAAAAAATGTGGGTTGTTAGTGCTCGAAAATCATTCACCAAAACATATTTTGTTGTTCCTCTCCTTGCAGCTAGGTCAAGTAGAAGATAAAAGTGGGCCAGGAACAGACTCCTTGAAATATGTCTACCTTACAGCATGAGTACCACTTCCCTGAAGGACCACCAGCCTGAAGAAAGAAAGTTAATAAGAGGGGACAACTCAGACCACAGGAAGCAAAAGATATCACAGGAAAGAAGCCAGGATTTTTGTAAGATTGGAGACAGCCATGGGTTCCATTCTGAGGCCAAAAAAATCAAGAAAGATTGTGTGACTCACCACTGCCACTGTCGGTACTAGGGTAATTTTCAAAAAGGCTTGCCAGGAATCTGTTGGAAGACTTTTGAAATACAGCCACCACTGTTTCATTAAGGAGGTCTTTGTTCTTTTCAAGCCAACCACTGATGTTATAAGGCACCTTTGGAAAGGCATGCATTTCAGGTAACAAAAAGGAAAAAGTGCATAAATAAATAGCAAATGGTGCACCACTTTTAAAAAAAAATCACAAACTGGCTGGGTCCGTTAAATCAGTTTGATGTAACAGTACTCAATAATATCCAAAAGTCCCTTTGCAGCCCAAAGAGATTCTCATGCTTTACCATTTATATTGTCAAAAGACAGGAATAGACAGGAAGAAAAGGGAGAAAGAGAGAGAGAGAGGAAGAAGTAGGAGAGAAAGGGACAGAGAAGTGGGACAGAGAGAAAGGAAGAACTGAATGGTCTTTCCAGGAGAGACAATTCACATCATCAGTCCTCCATAGACAAGAATAAATGAAATAATCCAACTGTCCCTGACACCCAGTGAACACTAAAAAAAGTGTTAGCAATTATAACAGTATTTTATTAAATATAATTATAATTAATATACCAGAATATCAAAGAAGAAAACTATAAGCATATCTGTGTACAGTTGGCAGGTCATTTTGGGGCTGAAGTATTATTGTATCTTTTATCAGATTTCGTTTTTTTTTTTTCACCTAGAATCACCAGCCAGAAGCCAAAAAGCAGAAAAAGAAGAGCACGCACAGCAGTGGAGAAATGAGGAGAGATAGTGAGGGTCATTAGAAAGCTTTGTTGGCCATAGTTTGGAGACCATTACTTCACATTGACTATTTCTTTATAGAAGAATTTAAAAAATCTTCAATAAAAGGATCAATTGAAATCACTCATTCACACAATGTTAAGTTAAAACGAAGGACAAATAAGGGAAAATCCATGACTTTGATGGTCTCCATGCCTTTATGAAGCTGTCTTGCTTTGAGTTGGGGTGACAGAGTCCATTTTGAGATTTGTGACCTCTGTGCTATTGTCATATGGCCTTCATTTCCTGAGTGCCAAAAGGCTATACTGCCTTTTTCTCCCCTGGAACTGAAATGTATTTTATTCTTCTCTTCATTTAATTGAAACTTTACTTAAATATTATATAAAGACTTTGGCTGAGTGCATGGGAAACAAAGTCAGAAAAATTCAGGACTGGGGGTCTAGAGGTAACTTACCACCCCTGCATAATGGACAAGTTCAAAATGAGCCTCATATTTCTTCTTCTTAGGCTTGGGCTTCTGGAGGTAAACTGACTTTCCAAAATGGTTGTCAAAGAGTTTGGTCTTGAAAGTCATGTCGGTAGCCTTGGTAAACATGCATTCCTCTTCAAGGATGGAAAGGATGCCCATTGGCTGTTGGAGAGGCATACACACAGCAGATTTAAGGGAAAAAAAAAAATAGTACTTTCAGTAGGGGGTCACTATAAATTTTTCCCCATGAACCTAATCAGTTGACAAAGGGAAGAATATTCACTGCATCTAACTAGCAATCATTCACTCAACAAATATTTATTTAATACTGATGCTGGTAGGAGCTGGGGATGAAGCAGGGAGCCACATACACAAAGCGCCTGTCTGCAGGGTGCTTACATTCTAGCGGAGCAGACAGATGATAGGTAAGTAAACAAAGAAATAACTACAAACGACAAATAATTTGGTTTAACATTAGTGCTCTGAAGAAATCATGTAAAGAGAGAGAACAATAGGAGGAAAAAAGGATGAGGTACGGTTGGGTAAGACTCCTCTGATCTGAATGTGAACAACAACCAGAAAAGATCTGCATATAAGTAGTCCAGGAAGACAAATGAGAAGTGCAAAGCCCTGGGGCAAGACCACTTGGCAAACTTGAGGCCCTGCCAGAGGCCAATGTGGACAAGCAAAGCTAGCCAGACAGGGCACATGGTAAGGGATAATGTCAGAGGTAAGCAGATGCCCTTATAGACTGTGGTTAGATGTGTGGCTTTTACTTTCAGTGTAATGGGAGATCTTTGGAGATTTGTAACATGAAATGACATGATTTGACTTATGCTTGAAAAGGATCACTGGTTTAGAAGAGGGGTGGGAAAAATAGCACCTGTGGGCCAAACTCTGCCTGCAATCTATGTTGGAATGACTTTTACTCCTTAAAAAAAAAAAAACGAGTATCTCCTAATGATCAGAGAAATGCAAATCAAAACCACATTGAGATACCACCTAACTCCAGCAAGAATGGCCATCATTAATATAACAAAGAACAACAGATCCTGGCAAGGATGCAGAGAAAAGGGAACGCTTCTATACTGTTGGTAGGAGTGCAAACTAACTCAAACTCTATGAAAAACAGTGTGGTGATTTCTAAAAGAATTAGAAATTGGCCATCTGGCCAGGTGCGGTGGTTCAAGCCTATAATCCCAGTACTTTGGGGGGCCAAGGTGAGAGGATTGCCCGAATCTAGGGGTTTGAGACTAGTCTGGGCAACTTGGTGACACTTCGTCTCTACAATTAATTAAAAAAATTAGCCAGGCATGGTGGTGCACGCCTGCAGTTCCAGCTACTTGGAAGACTGCGGAAGGATCACCTGAGCTCAGCAGGTCAAGGCTGTGGTGGTGGTGATTGTGCCACTGCACTCCAGCCTGGGCAACAGATTGAGGCTCCAACTCAAAAAAAAGAAAGAAAGAAATTGACCTTCCACACAAGCCAGCAGTCTCTTTTCTGGGAATATACCCAGAGAAACTCAAATCATTCTACAAAAAAGATATCTGTGTACACATGTTTATTGCAGCACTATTCACAATAGCAAAAGCATAGAACCAACCATGCTGCCCTTCAAACTCGACTGGATAAGAAAAAAAAATGTGGTACATATACACGATAATATTATGCAGCCATAAAGAAGGACAAAATTATGGACTTTGCAGCAACTAGGATGGATTTGGAGTTGATCATAGTGATCTATCCCAGAAACAAAGAACTGAGGACTACATGGTTTCACTCGTAAGTGAACCCTGAACACCTATCATAATACTACAAAAAAGGGATTGACAGTAGCAAGAGGCTGTCAAGGAGGGGGGGCACATAATATCAATAAGGGTGACTGTTTCTAATCCAGGCAAAGTGAGATCTAATGACAGGCTCGAAACTTCAGCTGACCGCTTATGTATGCAATCCTAACTTGTACCCCACAACTTTAAAATAAAATAAAGTTTTAAAAAATAAACATATAAATAATAAAACAGTGTCTCTTTGTCATCGAGGCTGGAATACAGTGGTATGACCATAACTCACTGCAGCCTCAAACTTCTGGGCTCAAACTTCTGCCTCAGTCTCCCAAGTAGCTAGGACTACAGGCCTGCACCACCATACGCAGTTGAACTTTTCTTTCTTTTTGTAGAAACAGGGGTCTATGTTACCCAGCATGGTCTCCAACACCTCGCCTCAGGCAAGCCTCCTGCTCTGGCCTCCCCAAGTGCTGGGATTACAGACACCAGCCACCACACCTGGCTAGTTTTCACATTTTAAAAACGTTGTAAAAACAAACAAAAATATGCGACAGAAAACCTTATGACCTCCCTAGCAAACTTGTTCTCTTCTAAAGGACCATATAATCTCTATCACACCTGTGCCATCAACTCAGTCATTGCAGCATTAAAAGCAGCAATGAACAACATAAACAAAATGAGGGTAGCCATGTTTCAATAAAACTTTATTTCTAAAAGCAGACCATGGGCTAGATTTGGTCCCTAGCCCCTACTTTTCCCACCCTTATTCTAAACCAATGATCCTTTTCAAGGATAAGTCGAATCCCTTCATCTAGACTAGTGACAATGTTGGAGCTTGTAAGAAGTCATTAGAAATGTGATATATGTTGAAAGTAGGGTTGGGTGCCAACTTGCTGATGGATAGGATGTGGTGTGTAAGAAAATGCCTCTTAATGCATTTATACTGCACATGATTTTTTAAATGCATTTTTACATTTATTAGACTTACAAATCTTTTACTTGACTGTATACTTCCTAAAGGCAAGAGCTATTTATAACAAATGCTTACATTTTCTACAGAATCTAATGCAGAATTTTATACACAGTAGTGTGAGCCTGAAATTAAGTCTCAACACTATGTGTGTCTTGACAGCTAGGGAAAACCAGGAGGGACTCAAATGACCTAATTACAAGTTCCCTTCCTATTGTGCTCTCATGGGTTAAGTCCCCTAGCCAAACAACCCACCTTATGACAGGGAACAGGCACAGTGCCTTCTTAACCCTGAGTAATGGGTTTCAGTTTCTTGACAGCCCATGAAATTATTCAAACAAGCCTATCATATCCTCCTAGGGGATCCTGTAATCGCCACACTCTACATTACTACAAAGTTGCCTCCCACAGCTCCTGCACATTCACTGTATTCTCAGGGTAACTTCCCTGTGGCCCTGCATGGTGTGGGGTGTCCCCCATGGGGCTGTGAATATATGTAACTAATACAAATCATGCTGGTCTTGTCTGTCCAATGTTAGGTGTCATATGTTCAGCCATTCCCATAAACCTAGGGCAGGATTCCCTCCCTCACCAATGAGGTGAAAAGGAAATGATCAAAACAAGTGGTTGCTAAACAGATTTACTTGTTTGTTGAATCAAAAAATAAATAAAAGTTTTGACTCTTAAGACATATTTCCAATTACACGAGAAGTTCCTTAAATGCCAGGATGAGGTCTTTTGGGGTTTGCACTCTTCATAACCCTTAGCACAATATGTTCTGAGATGACGAAAATGTAGGCCCTCAGCAAATTTCTGCTAAGTAATTAACTGGCCGGAGAACATTAAGACACACGGAACTCAAGTTCTAGAAATTTTGCTGCTTTGCTGTGTAGACAAAAAGTAAAAGTTGTTATCAACAACAATAACAAAACATGAAGCTATGTGTTTAAAAAAAAATAGTAACGTGCATACGGGATATAACTAGATATTACTATGATTTGTTTTACATTAAAAACACCAGAATTAGCACATCCAAAGAGCTCCTCTAGGGAGGCAAAAACACTTGTATAATGCCAAGATGCTGCCAGGATTTAAAATATTTTAGGACTTTCTTTGGGATATCTGATACCATTGACTACTGACATATGGAAAATTCCTGTTGCCCGATGGTATATCATTGTATAGAAACAATAAAAAGTTGTTCAGGCTAAGTCAGGCAAATAAAGTAGATAATGTGATCAACAACCAGTAAGATAATAAGTACTGAAGCAAATTTTCTCCTAAACCTGGTAAAATTCTAAAATCTTATTTTAATCCCAATTTTGAAAGGAACTTTCAGAAAGAGCTGAATCATTAGAAGGAGTAGTCTTAGCCGGACTTGGTGGCTTAGCCTGTAATCCTGCGCCTTTGGGAGGCTAAGGTGAGTGGATTGCCTGAGCCCGTGGGTTCGAGACCTGCCTGGGCAACTTGGCGAGACCTCATCTCTACAATAAATCAAAAATGAGCCGGGCATGGTAGTGCACGCCTGTAGTTCCAGATACTTGGAAGACTGAGGCAGAAGGATGGCCGGAGCTCAGCAGGTCGAGGCTGCAGTGGCCAGGAGCGGCCACTGCACTCCAGTCTGGGCGACAGAGTGAGACTCCAACGCAAAAAAAAAAAAAAAAAAAGGAGTAGTCTTCCAATGTGCTGACACTGAAGAAATAGCAAGTTTTTAAATGTATTTGGGTGTATTTGTCAAGAAATAATAGGACGAATCTCCTGACCAATGTCTTATATATAACCACAAATATGTAATCATATATTAATACTTTAATATGTAAATTATCGATGCTCAAGCTTTAAACAAACTAAAATATTTCAAGTAGTGAAATAAGTGTGAGTTAATCCTATAATAGATTTGTTCACAGCATATGTATAGGAGGTCACTGTAACTGAAAGACTGAATTAAAAACGTTAGTATTAAAATACATTTTTAATTTTAGTTTGATATAAAATTTTTATAAACTTAAAAATATAAAACTTTTATGTGTAAAAAGTATTTTTCCTTACACACATACAGAGATACATGCTATAAGACATTTTGTACATATTGATATATTTTAGTTATTTTGAATTTTAAAAACTTCCCGATTCATTTTATTTCAAGGTGTGAATTTGATCCTTAATATTTGCATAAATTTTCTTCAAATAGCCCCGATCAATTTAATGGATCTTTCTAAGATATGGAATATTTTCAAGGAAAGCTTTGGTATTCCTCATTTGTCTGACCCAATTCCATTAAAATTGTTTCTAGAATACTGGCTGGGAGTCTTACATCTGTAATCCCAGCACTTTGGGAGCCTGAGGTGGAGGGTTGCTTGAGCTCAGGAGTTTGAGACCAGCCTAGGCAATATACTGAGACTGACTCTACAAAAAAAATAAATAAATAAAAAATTCAGCCAGGCATGGTGGTGTGCACCTGTAGTCCCAGCTACTTGGGAGGCTGAGGCGGATGGATCACCTGAGCCCAGGAGGCAGAGGCTGTGGTGAGCCATGATCACTCCACCGCACTCCGGCCTGGGCAACAGAATGAGAACCGACTCAAAAAAAAAGGGGTTTATAGGAAACCAAAGACTTCTCTTTTCCTTTCATCACCTGGTCATATTTTTTTCTCATTCTATCATATCAGTAAAAAATATAACAGGAGATTACACCCAAGTTGCTAGTGTGTTATTTGAAATAACTGAGATATGCATAAATGAGACAAAGGCCTCAGAGAAATTCAAAATCAGTAACATTCAAAGGCTTACCAGTATGTGAATAATGTCTACATCCAACCTCCCTGCCTGAAAATAGGATATTGTCATTATCAAAGTGAGCAGATATTACAGGTGACAATTGCCGGAAGCTACGTCTGTCCTCCAGGGAGCCTCCATTTCTTTTATTTTATTTCTAATCAGAACACTACAGTTTTTATGATGCCAGGAAACATTTGCTGGATCATAGTAGGCTCATCATTCTTACCATTTTTAACCAGCTTATGGTTGATTCATTATTATTATTATTTTTAATCAGCCTGTCTTCCCCCTGGGAAGTTCACTGGTTATAAAATAAACAAAAATCAATGGGATGTCCACTCCTGTCAAGAATAATAGCTATTCTCAAGGAAGATTTAGTTTCATCTAAAACCTAATAAATAAAATTGATGGGACACTGATTGATAAAGTCTGAGGTCTGCAAAGGACAGCGAGAGGTCAGTCATCCTAGCTCCTTCCTAAAAGGGTTGCTGAAAATCAAACATGACAGCCTAGCGAGAGAGCTTTCAGAAAGTTAAAGGCTTCAGTCTTCCCAGACCCAGCTTCAAAATTCACTGCAATCTGTAGTGAGACACAAGAGCCATGCAGCTGCTAACATATGCTGCATGTTTGGTCCCATGGACAAAGTCACAGAAAAGACCTTCCAGAATTCCCCCTGCAAGCCCCGCTAATCTTTCCCAGAACGTGCGAGAAGATTTCAGAGTACAGGGACATCACTGAAATCAGTAACTGTACACTGCAGCTAATTTACTAATAAGCCATGAAGTATTGTCATAAATTACTTAAACTAACTGGTACTTGTCCAATTAAATGAACAAACTACATCCTGCAAGGTAGTGGCCTTGAGGATTGATGACAGTTGTTTGTTTGCATGCTAATTTGCCAAATTTCGTTAAGCGGTTCTGGGTTACTCATTCACCTTATGTTAATCAGCCAGGGCCTACAGTGCTCATATTTTCAGCTCTGTGTTTTTCCAGTCAAGAGCATGACCATTTTTAATCTCGACAAGTTTCCTCACGCATTAACAGTGGAGGCCATGCATAAGCGACAAACGTGTAGGGAAAGTCTGTGTTGGAGATGATGGAGTGAGGCAGCCGATGGGAGAGTTCAGTTAGGATGCCACGGATGCTGCACACAAGGACCATTAAGACAAAAATTCCCATTTCCTGCCTGAGTCTGATTCCTGGCATGGATCAACATGGCAAGCAGGGACAATTTTCTTTAAACGAAAATGGACAGGAAGAAAAACATCCATTACCTTCTCAATGAGATCTATGCAGGCTTGCAAATCCAGACCAAAGTCAATGGGCACCCAGTCAATGCCTTCTTTCCTATATTCCTCTTGCTCCAGAGCAAACATGTGCTGGTTGAAAAACTGTTGTAGTTTTTCATTGGTAAAATTAATACAAAGTTGCTCAAGGCTGTTGTACTTCAGATACAGGAAGAAGAGATAAAAATAAAATTGAGGTCCACTTGCAACAATGTGCAGTAAAGAGAAAACCATAACCATTATCATATGATGGTAAATAGACCCAAGTAACAACTGCTCAATTAACTTCTTGCCTTTTTCAGATAGTCTTATAAACTAAAGATTATTACAATAAAATAACATTTAATGGTAATACAATTCAAAATCATAAAAGAGGTCAGGCTTGGTAGCTCACAACCGTAATCTTAGCACTTTGGGAGACTGAGGTGGAAAGATTGCTTGAGGCTAGGAGCTCAGAACAGCCTGGGAAACATGGCAAGGCTCTGCCTCAAAAAAAAGCAAAAAACAAAAAACAAATTAGCCAGGTATAGTGGTATACTATCTGCAGTTCCACCTACTCAGTGAATGAGGCAGGAAGATGGCTGAGCCCAGGGGTCGAGGCTGCATTGAACTTTGAGCACACCACTGCACTCAACGCACTGTACTTACTCTGTCAGCCTGGGTAACTGACAGAGTAAGACCCTGTCTCAAATAAATAAATAAATAAAACATTATAAAGTATTTCTCTACCTCTACTTCGCTTTATGTAAGCCTGAATCAAGACATTAATAAATTCTTCATACTGTAACTGTAATAACTATTATTTCTAATATTAATTGTAGCCCTTTTCCAACCAAGGTAGCGCTTAAGGTTTGTATAGAATGATTATCACGCTTTAACCACATTTTTCCATGTACAAGTCACACCTTCTAACATCCTTGTTAATATGCATTGACTCCATTCTTGCCAAATATACTTACCTCAAGGATTTCAAAACCAGTGATGTCAAGGATGCCGACGAAGAACGGCCTTGGCAGCTGGGCATCCAGGGCCCTGTTGATCCGCGCCACCAGCCACTTGAACATCCTCTCATAGATTGACTTGGACAGGGCACCAACAGCGCAGGTTACCTAGAAATCACAGTGAAAACACTCCTTCATCTGACAGCAGTGTTCCTTTGAATCTTGGACCTTCTCTATCAGCAACCACCTTCTAGTCAAATGTCAGAATCGGATGTCTGTATTGACCTGTGGTTCTAGCATTCTGCTGTAAACAGTGAGAGACAAAGGATAAAGTAGCAAGGAAAGGAGGGAACAAAGAAGAAAGGAGGAGGGTAGGAGAAAGGAGCAAGGGAGCCTGGTGCCTCCTTTCCAAACACGGAGATGAGAGGAATCCTGTTCCTGACATGAAAGAACTAACTGTCGCCGGGTTCGGTGGCTCAGCCTGTAATAACGCGCCTTTGGGAGGCTGAGGTGAGTGGAATGCCTGAGCCCGCGGGTTCGAGACCCGCCAGGGCAGAGAGACCTCATCTCTACAATAAATCAAAAAATCAGCCGGGAGTGGTGGCGCATGCCTGTAGTTCCGGCTACTCGGAAGGCTGAGGTGGAAGGATCGCCGGAGCCCAGCAGGTCGAGGCTGCGGTGGCCGGGAGCGGCCACTGCACTCCAGTCTGGGCGACAGAGTGAGACTCCAACTCAAAAAAAAAAGAACTAATGTCGTAGGGTACCATGGGGCAATGTGTTTTAGAAAGCATTGCAAAAAATAATAATAATCATAAATAAATAAATTAAATAAATAAATAAATAAAAAGAAAGCGTTGCTATTCAAGTGTGGTCCTAAGACTAGCGGCGTCATCAAGAGAGCTTGTTATGGGAACAGTCCCAGACCCACTGAATCAAAATCTGTACCCTAACACACTCCCCAGCCAATTCCTATTGACAAATAAATACTCTTTCCTTGACCAAATTTTAGTCAGAGTCCTCTGAGCCCATGCCTCTGAGCCCGTGGCTGTCCTGTCTTCAGCCTGCAGCTGCAGCAAGAATTCTGCTAAATCGCTTCAGCAAGAATCCCCCCACCCTCATGTCTGATTAAGTTCCTCCTTCACCACATCTGCTGTATAAGTTTTTGGCCTGCCTGTATCAAGAATCCTCTTAGCCCATCAAAAGTGGACTGGATAAAGAAAATGTGATACATATACACGATGGAGTATTACACAGTCATAAAGAAGAACAAAATCAAGGACTTTGCAGCAAATTGGATGGAGTTGGGAGACCAACATACTAAGTCATCTATCACAGAAAAAAGAACTAAATTCCACATGTTCTCACTCATAAGTGGGCCTTGAACATCAGTCACATTAGCACAAGGGTGTGATCGGCAGTGACTGGGCACTGCTAGGGGAGGGAGGGAGCGAGAAGTGGGGGACACATAACACAAAGAGTACTTGGTTCATTAACAGGGAAGGAGGGCCAGTTAGAAGCCCAAATTTCACCTGCATGTACCCTACTTATGTAGTGAATCCTTACTTGTACCCTGTATTCCTATAATTAGAAACAAAATACAGAATCCTGTTAGGCTAGTTTAGCAAAAATCCTTCTACCATTGATTCTCCTCCCAGTAAATTTTCATCCACCTAGTAAATTTTCATGCCCTTTGGCTATGAATCCCCACTTATCTTTCATGCATTCAGAATTGAGCCCAGTGACTCTCCCCTATGGCGATACCCCTGTTGCAGCAGTTCTGAATAAAGTCCTCCTTACCATTTTAACAAGTGTCAGGATAATTTTTTAACACTATGCACAATAAAGTTTGAAAAGTACTGGTAATTGTAGATGAGGAATCTGTCATCTCTAGCCCTTGTTCTGCCAGTGATGTTGCTGCTAATAAATCGTGCAACCTTTGGCAAGTCACCCAACCTCTCTGGGATGCAGCATCTTCATCTGAATAATGAATGTTCTTAAAGGATCTTTCTAGCCCAAGCTTCCAGCTCTTTATTATAATCGTTCCCAGTGTTGCTCTCAGCAACCTGGACAAAGAATGACCATTTGGTGTATTATTGTGACTCAGATTTTCCTGCTGTAAAAACTGAGGCTGCATTTCCCTTCCCTGGATGGGTGTGGCAAGGCTCTCAAGTAACCCACTGGGGAGAGCTCCAACCTTTGTGCCCAAAGATACTATCCAAATACAGATCCTGCTTCCATCAAACCAAAGCGCTGCTGTAGTAGCGGGTTTCTGACATACTCCAAGCGGGAGTGAATTTCAGCTGGCCACTTTCCAAGCCTGGAAACAGAATGTGCTCCAACCACTTAACATTTAAAATAGGCCTATCGCATCCATCCTTCTGCCCAAGAGAGAGCACGCAGCAGGAGCCAGTTGGTGTCTGGTGGTGATTTAGTTATGAGTCACCCACTCTCTGATCAGTTATCTTGAGTCATTTCCACAGTAATCCATAAGCCGGATGGCATCACAGTTTTTTATTATCAGCGTCAAGAGCACACACGTACAAATAAAGCACCAAGAATGATTTTCATCCCCTCTAACACCAAGGAAATCACTCTCTGTCTACAGCAGTCACTTTGAAACTTTAAAAAGAGCATGACTAACTTGCTCATCCCCTTTTAGTTCCTTAAATATTCGAGACATGAGGGTGGGAGAGAAACTGTCTGGTCAGGTGCAGGGATTGGTGAAGAAACAGAAAAAACCCTGGAGATGCAGGCAGAGGGAGACATAGATGGTTAAAGGTCTGCTGAATGAATTAGTGAAACTAACAGACTAATATACTGCTCACTAGTTAATCATTTTCTCTCCAAGAACGGAGAGATGAGGCGACTAAAACTCTCCTTTCACTTTTCAGGGGTTAAATGAACCCATTTCTTAGCCCCTTTTAAAATAATCTCACAGAAGATACTGTGGGTGGGGGGTTAGTTATAATAGAAAACAACAACAGAAAAACAAACACACACAGCTGGGCACAGTGGTTCATGCCTGTAATCCCAACACTTTGAGAGGCCAAAGCAGGAGGACTGCCTGAGCCCAGGGATTCAAGACCAACCTGGGCCACATAGTGAGACCTCGTCTCTACAAAAAATCAAAAATTAGCCAGGTGTAGTGGCACATTCGAGTAGTCCCAGATACTTGAGACGCTGAGGCAGAAGGATCATGCCCAGGAGGTTGAGGCTGCTATGAGCCATGATTGTGCCACTGCACTCCAGCCTGAATGACAGTGAGACCCTGACTCAAAAAGTAAAATAAATCAACAAATTAAATAACCTCGCAGAAGACTTTGATTATTGAGGGGGGTGATAGTGCATGGTAGAAAACCACAACAGAAAATCAAGCAAATAAGAAATGAAGTCAAATAATGAAATATGTACCCATGTTGACCCCTGCCTTTCTCATCTGTAAAATAACAATATTAAAATACACATATCTGAAGGTTGTTGTGAGAGATTCAGTGAGACAGAGGATATAAACGTACACAGCACCACATTTGACACTTAGTATCCAATGAATGTTAGTTTCCCACCCCTTTTCTGTCTATATCACTTCCTCATCCTCACTCCAGTGAGGTTAATCCAAGGGTCACTGTCTTTAGCTGTAAAATGGATACATTAATAAAATCTACTTTGCAGACTTGTTATTAGATTGAATCAGACAATCCATACGAAGCACTTAACACAGCACCCATAGATAATACTCAGTGGATATTACTATTATTGTTGTTGCCGTGTCATTATTCTTTATTAAATTAAAATAACTTATTTCAAATAGACATAGAACTCCCACTGAATTATAAAATACTAGACCTAAAGAACCTTAGTTTTTAATCATCACGTATAGTTTTTCAAGCTGAGATACTTCCCTCCAAAGAAAGAATGCATTTGCAAATGCAGATGGTATGGTTGTCATATGACTAAGAATGCTGTTGGCATTTAATACCTGGGGGCCAGGAATGTCAAATAACTACAATGAGCAGGACACTCTCATCCATGAAAAATGTCCCAACTTAGATGCCAAACACAAAGTTGTTCAACTACTTCACGGAGGGGGTCAGAGAGATGAAGATATTTGACCAAGATATTAGAGTTAGCATTAGAGCTAGAACTAAATTCTTTTTTTTTTTTTTGAGTTGGGGGTCTTACTCTGTCATAAAGGCTGGAAGATCAGGACTCACAGTAGCCTTGGCCTCCTGGGCTCAGGATTCTTCCACCTCAGTATCCCAAGTATCTGGGAACTGACTATAAGTGCACACCATCATGCCTTGCCAGTTTTTTTGCTTTTGTTTTTGTTTTTTAGAAATGAGGTTTCACTGCACTGTCCAGGCTGGTTTCAAACTTCTGGACTCAAACAATCCTTCCACCTTGGCCTCCTAAAGTGCTGGGATGACAGGCGTGAACTACCTTGCTCGGCCTAGAACTAAATTTTATCGAGTGTTAGTGTTAGCACTGCACAAATTTTTCCCATCTTTTGTAATTGTCATCAGCAGAGCATACATGTCTCTATTTTTAGCAGTGGCAATTGTCTCTAAAAAGTCAGTAAAATTCCTAAGGGGAGAAAAAAAAGAAGACTTACACTGTGCTTTCTTACTCTGTCACCAGGAGAGAAAGAAACAGAGGAAGAATGGAGATTGGAGTTTTTTTTTATTTTAATATTGAATAATAATATATTAGCTTGCTTCACTGGTTCCATTACAGTAAAGGCTGGAGTGGTAACTCAGTGCCTTAGAACACAAGATGAAAGAGGCAAAAGTTTGATTTCAGTCCTCCTCTGGGCTCATTAGTTTTATTTTATTTTGTTTCTTTGCTTTTATTATGATTTCAGTTGACCCATAATAATTATACATATTTATGGGGTATAGTGTGATATTTCAATACTTGTATACTATGTGATAATGATCAAATCAGGGTAATTAGCATATCTAGCACTTCAAGCATTTATCATTTCTTTATGTCGGAAACATTTAAAATCTATTCTTCTAGCTATTTGATTATGTCATATAATCATAGCATGTCATGCATGCATGTTGTCGTGAACATCTAAGAAAGTATGAAACTGCCAAAACACTCTAACCCCACTGCCAAAAAATAGCTCAATTACTTGTCCTGCTGATCAGGATTCATGTTTAACTCAATTTAGTCTATTTTAACATCTGTGGATCACCTACTAATTGCTGGGCACTGTGCTAGATGCTGGGAGTACTAAGATGAATTAGACACACTCCATAGCCTCAAGGAGGTTAGATGACCAGAGAAGACAAAAATGTAAGCAGATTATTTCAATAAAGTTAGTCTTATAGTAGAGGCAAAATTGTTGGTTTATAGAGTGAGCTAAACTAGTAAATTCATTTTGATTAAATGTTTTAAATAACGTAGATACATCAGATACCTTAATATACCAAGAGAAACAGTCTATTGTAGCCAAAAGGACTGTTTTCTATCACAAATTTGTCCATTTTTCTCTCTTTTTCAGATTTAGGATATATGAAGGATAAGACAATCTCAGTGTTACCTGAATACAAGTTGCATATCCTTCGGAACGTTTCTTATGTTCTCTTAGCCTCTAGAAACAATATAAATTAAGTGTTCCTACTTACCTCTGAGTATTGTTGTAAGTACAGAAGGAGATAATGCCTGTGAATGCTCTATACACACTATGTGGCTGTCTCTTCACCACACCATTTCGTCTTTCCAGAAAGACTACATTTTTCAGCTCCCCTGTAGCTAAGAGGATAATTTGACTAATTCTCACCAATGGAATATTAGTGAAAGTGACATAACTTCTAGCCCAAGCAATTAAAGATTGGTATACTTTCTTCACAAATTATCTTCTCTACTTTTGCAGCAACTTTGGAGACCATGTGTTCCAGATAGCACAACCACAAAATGGCAGAAGGCTATATATTCTGTATTGAACTTGATGTAAGAAATATTTTGTTGTCACTGAGACTTTAGTGTGTATGCATTACTGCATAGTGTTTAGTGTGTATGCATTACTGCAGCACAGCTTATCTCATACTGACTAATACACAATCTGCATTTCTGATGTAAATGATTATTTTTAAATGTATTAGCATACTTAGATGGTCTCATTACCCAGCAGCACTGGGAATATTTTACTACATTAAGGCAAAGCCTCAAGCTCAGCAGCCCTTAGAGCATTTGGTATTATTATATCACTATGATATTCTCCTATATGCTAAACAAAACCTACATGGCCTTTTATCTTTCATTTCTGTTCTTGATATCCCCTCTCTTCATCATATGTTCTAAAACCCCATCTCAATTAACTTGTCATGTGCATCTGTTATTCCAAAGGAATCAATATGCCAAATAGGTGGGGGATGCCAATTTCCCAATTGTACTCATGTCAGGAACCAACCACTTTGAAAGCTTCTTAGCTGGACGACTAAGATGTTGATCACAACAAGTAAAGGGTTTGCCTGCATCTATAAAGAGACTTGTGACCTAAGGGAAAACTGTCAAAATGCATATTTCAGAATAAACAGATGCTTAACACATGAGCATGTACTGTGGTATGCATCATAATTAAAACATATGGAATACTCATCCCAGTGGCTCTTTTGGGACTTTTTATAGAAGCTCTTATTGCAGATGTTTTCAGTAGTTGAAAGTACAATATGTATACAATTATTCCAGGATCATAGAATGATAATGCTCTGGAAATATCACCTTACCTGTTCTATATTTTGACTTCTGGTAACATATTCATTACCAACTTTGATTCTAGGATGGATCAAACACTTTACCAGCTCAGCGGAGTTAATGCTCATGAGGAAAGCAGCCTTGTCAGCACCTGGTCATAAGGAAGGAAAAGAATAGGGGAGGGAAGAAAACACTGTTAAAATTAATTCCTTTATAGCTAAATTACCCAGCAGTATAGAAAGATGGTGTGGTTAGGTCAATGTAACAAGGTCATTTGTAGCTTTGAAATAAATGCCTGAATCACAAATGTTTAAAAGAATCTATTTCTTGGAAATGCAAATCAAAACCACATTGAAATGCCACTTCACGCCCACTGGAATGGCTCTAATCAAAAAGGCAGACAATAACAAGGGTTGGCGAGGATGTGAAGAAATTGGAACCATTATGCATTGCTGGTGGGAATGCAAAATGGTGTTGCTTCATGGAAGACAGTGTGGCAGTTACTCAGCTGTTAAACACAGTTACTACAGGACTCGGCAATTCCACACTCAGGAATAGTCCTAAGAGAAATGAAAACATATTCACATGAAAAATTGTATGCAGATGTTCCACAATAGTCAAGGTGGGGAAAAAATGAAATGTTCATCAACTCGTGAATGGATAAACAAAATGTGCTATATTCATACAATGAGATATTATTCAGCCATTTTAAAAAATGAATTTTTGATACGAACTGCAACATGACTAAAATTTGAAAACATTACGCTAAGTGAAAAAAGTCAGACACAAAAGACCACATACTATAAGATATGTGGACTGTCCAGGATAGGTAAATCCATATGAATATAAAGTAGATTTTGGTTTCCTGGGGTTGGGGGAAGAGGAAATGGGTACAGGGTTTCTTTTGTAGTGATAAAATGTTCTGGAATTAGATAGTGGTGATTGTTGTACAACCTTGAGAATATACTAAAACCCACTAAACTTAAAATTTTTACTTTAAAAAGGTAGATTTTTATGGTGTGTGAATTGTATCTCAATTTTTAAAAAGAATCTATTTCTTTATACTGGCACTATTCTAAAAAGAAGTTTGTCTGAAAAACATGGAAAATGCCATCTTTATTATTTGCCTGTTTTTTTTCCTTCTATGTATGTGCTTGTAGAGTCCTCCAATGAAACAGAGTCTTGGGTCATGTAAATTGATAATTCAAGACAACCACCAATCAACAGAAGCTAGGACATTTGCCCAGTACCTATTAAAAACTCTTTCTACTCCTGCGAAGTCTCTATTTACTCCATAGTGCCCTCTGCAGCCCAACAATAATACTTACACCCCACAAAATTTAAGTTCTATAAAACAAAACTTCCATTTTCTAAAAAAAAAGAAGCAGAGAATAAGTGTTATCAGAAGAAAAAGTAAATAGGCATGTATCATCTCAGGTGTTAAGAAAATGACAAAAATATAAAAGATGCCACAGGCAAGAAGTTATAAGCATATTTCAAATTACAGATTATTTTGGCTACCAAACAAAATGAATATTCCACTCATCCAAAAACTCTCTGCCATGCTTTCCATTTTAAATGAATCCTGAGATATGTTGGTATATCTGACATAGCCATTCTGCAGAATAATGTCTTATGAGAGAAGATCATGCATTCTTTTTTTACTTCACTAAAAAAAAAGTACAAAATTCTCCGAGCAATAATCAAAAACAGAAAATAAAGTTTAAAAAATTAGAGAGCTACACATTATCTGTATTAGCAATATCTATCTGTGGTAGACTTTAAATTTTTAATAGAGGCATAACAATTTTGAAATATTTGATTCATTTATAAACTACAATCAATATATATTATACATACATTTCTACAAGCTACAGACACACTGTTAGGTTGCTTGCAGTGATAATGAATTTCAGTTGCTACAAAATCTTTCAAAATGCAAAGTCTATTTGGGAAAGTAAGTGAAAAATCAAAGGTAGAGCTGACACGCCCATGCTGTGCTGAGATGCTCCTGCTAAGAGTGCCAGCCTTGGAGACAAAAGCCTGACTGTTTCAAGTTGAAATGCCCTTGTGTCCACAACATAGACTTTTTGCACTGGAAGAGACTTTAGAGAGCATCTTATGCAACATGAAAATATTTAAAAGAAAGGAAGAAATGCCACGTGCCTGGTATATCTGAGTGAAAATGAATAGTAATGAACAGTTTAAAAAATAATTCCCCAGTGTCTGTCCAGGTTAAAAAAAAAAAAGACAAGAGTTTTTTCTAAGCTTTGGAGGCATTCAGATAGATAATACAGATAATAATAGTCTCAAAGAATGGTTTCTCACACCAGGAGCCTTCATACATTCTTTTTCCAGTGTTAAGGATAGTACTTTGAGTCTATTTTTATCCATGAACAAAAGAAACCCAAATTCTCCCCATGGTATCCCACCTTAAGCACTCACAGAAATAACATCTAACATTACAGGATTATGTCTCATCACACCAGAGGTCTTGCGTATTTACAGACAGGACTGATGTGCTCTGGACTTACCTCAGAGGTTTACACTATACTTCACATATGTTCTGTCTTTTGGGGGAGAGTGTGGGAGGTGGAGACAGAAAACAATCATAGTTATCATGTTCCAAAAATAAATTGACTTCATTTGCACTAAATATTTACAGTTTACAGCCAAGATGAAAATAGTGTAAATCTATGAATAAATGCCAATCTAACATTCAGGAACTACTTACTATAGGAAACAAAGCAATGTCTATAAACACGTTTTAATCATGTTCCCAAAGAGGCTTTATACAATTCTCACCAAGAAGCCTCATTTCCTTCCGGACTTTGTGAATGAAACCATGGATTTTAATTAGGCAGCATGATCTTATCCGGGAGAGGTAACATGTAGTGAAAGCAGTGGCTCTCAAACATCGGTTTGTATCAGAGTAGCCTAGAGAGCTAGTCAAGAACAAAAAGATGAGGCTCGCTGAAGTAAGTTAGGATCTGGGCTTCTCTTAGTTGCTCAGGTTACCCAGGTGATTCTGATACACATAAACGTTTAAGAACAAAGTTCTTCTTACAGTGTTCCTCAACTTTGATTGCACATTGAGATCACCTGGCAAGTTGTAACAACAAATACTGATGCCTGCAACTCACTTCCAGAAATCTGTATTGGTTTTGTTTTTGTTTTTAGAGGGGTGAGGCCTTATCTTTAGGAATTTTAAAGTTCCCCAGGTGATTCCGATTGGCAGCCAAGTTTGCAAACTACCATGTAGGGAATGGTAGCCAGGTTTGGTAAATACATTCTGAAGTCAAGAAGAGGGAAAGAACAAAGTATGACTTTGCCTGAAAAACAGGTAAGGAAGTAGAGAAATTCAAAAGGAAATCTTTTCCAACTTTACAATTCTAGCCCAGCTCAGTCCCATCTACAGATAACAAGATGTGAAAGAATGGAACCAGTTTCATCAATATTTAGGAGTTATGATAATGACATTAAATTATTTTATGGAGAATTATATCACAATTTATTTTCATTAATTTATTAAACTGGAATGTGACTAGTCCAAATTGAAATATGCTCTATGTGTAAAATACATAGCAGATTTTATAAACTTAGTATAAAAAGAAAATATCTCATAAAAATGTTAGAATTGATTACTTGTTACACTAATATTTTAGATGTACTGAGTTAAAAAATATTATTGCTTTTCACCTTTCTTTTTTTTGAGTTGGAGTCTCACTCAGTCGCCCAGACTGAAGTGCAGTGGCTGCTCCCGGCTGGAACTACAGGCGCACACTACCATGCCCGGCTAATTTTTTGATTTATTGTAAAGATGAGGTCTCGCCAAGTTGCCCGGGGAGGTCTTGAACCCACGGGCTCAGGCACTTCACTCACCTCGGCCTCCCAAAGTGCAGGATTACAGGCTGAGCCACCGAGCCCGGCCTGCTTTTTACTTTTCAATGTAGCTTTTTAATTTCTTTTTTAATTTTTAAATGTGGCTACCAAAAAAATTAAAATCACCAGTATGGATGAGGTATCAATTGGTAATGTGTGGACTACTAGTGGTGGATGAGGAAATAAAACTAATGACATTTTCAAGTTTAAAAATAAATGAAAAAATAAACAAAAGTTACTGAGCACTTGCTGTGCGTAAGCCCTGGTGCTAGATGATCTAGTAAGAAGATAGATAAACAAGACAAAAATCCCTGGCATGAAGGAATTATAATCCATGAGAGTAAATAAAAAACAGGCAAAAATAGCATGTCAGTAAAATAACTGCGTAAGGGACACAAAAATCATGTATCATGAAACTGAAATAGGGAGACAGCACTTTTGGACTCTATGGACAGAGAAGGTTTTAAAAAGAAACAACATTTGATCTGGGCTTTGAAGGATAAGAAGGGTTTTTATAGGCAAATGCGGAAGAACAAGAATTTGTGAGATAAAGAACAGCATGACTTGAAGCCACAGGAGTGGGAGAGTACAAGGTGTGGTCAAAGAAGAGGTTATAACCTAGATAGGTTGGACTGTGACGTCAAGGAGTGAGTAATAAACTGAAAAAAGCAGGTGATTTCTGGTGACAGGAGCCATTTGATGCCACGTTAAGATATTAGTTTAATAATGGGGGAACGCTAAAGGAGCTTCAAGCAGAGTAACGACATAATTAGAGTCATGCTTTAGAATGATTAATTTTGGAAATGTGCAAACAGACCAGAGTAGGAAGAGTTTAAAAGTACAGAGAGAGTGAACCCATTTGCAGGACGTCAAAGTTAAGATGCTGGAGCTCTAAAATGGTCATGAGAAAGGGAAAGAGAGAGACTGAGAGACATGACTCGGAGGTTTCCAGTCTGAGATGCAGAGAGAACAGCAGTTCATCAATATGGATAGAAACGCCGATAGGAAAGAATCATTTGAGGGAGAAGATGGTGCGCTGCATGTGGAATTTAGGGTACCAGAAAATATGCAGTAGAGAGTTGGAAACATGGGGTTGGAACTCAAGAAAGAGGTAAAGGATGGGATGTCCCCTTAGGTTCCGGTGCCTATCCCCCTTCCAATGTCTTCTCCATCTGTCCAGCTATTTAAATTCCTTCCTAAATGATTAACTGGGAAGAAATTGCCAAAGCTTAATATATTAAGAATCCTTAGAAACCAAGAAAAATCCACCATCTCCATTTTAAAAATGAGGTAATGATAGAAACATTCTGGAAAATTCAAAAGAGAAATAATACAAATAGGCCATAATATATAAAAATTAATACTTAGATATGAAATAAACATTTTTAATTGGCAACAGAATAACTGCCAGTGTTGGTGAGGATAAAAAGAATATCACTTTCTTATGCTGCTGATGGGAATATAAATGGCATATAGAGGCATCTGAGAAAGAAATTTAGTCCTGGAAGCTGATTCTAGAAATATGAATATTCTTAGATATATCTATACATCTTTAAATCTATAAGTAAATTCACCAAAACTTTGCTCATAATAGCAAAATTCTGGAAATAAATTCAATAATCAATAAGATATTTAAATTAAATATCTATACATCTGTACATTGTACATCTATACAATGGAACACTTTGTAGTCATCTAAAAGGATATTGCAGGAAAAAAAGTGTTCACATATAATTTGATTTTTAAAAATCCAGTGTGAAATAACATGAGTATGATCACAAGGCAGTGAACACACCAAATTAGATCCCTGTTCTTATAAAGCTTACAGACAGACTGGAGGGGTGGAGTTTAGAACAAATAATGAAAAATAGCTGTATGAATGACACGAAGATAAATATTTAGGTTAGGGAAATAGTGATGGGACAGTGGTGGGGATGGTCAAAGAAGGCTTTTCTGACAAAGTAGCATCCAAGAAGTCACTTTAATAAAGTAAGGATATCTAGGAAAACAGTTCCAGAAAGAAAGAAGAGACACTGGAAAAGTCCTGCAATAGGAGTGCCCACACACCCCCAAAAGAACCACGAGTCCAAGAGGGCTGAGTGGAAGGGCGTGAGAGAAAATAGTAGATTTCCCCACCAATGTAGGGATTAGAGAGGAATTTAGAGAAGTATCATAGAGAATAAGAAGGCTATGACAGGGACTTGGGGTTTTATCTGGAGTAAGTTGGGAGCCATTGTTGAGTTTGGAGTAGTGGACGAACATAGACTGACTTACACGGGGAAGGGATTGACTGTGACTCCTCTGGGCAGAGCTATCTATCATAGGCAGGGAGACCAGAAAGGAGACTCTTGGAATAACCTGGAATAAAATGGTGGCTTGGGCTAGATGGAGGCCGTGGACATGACCATTGTGATAAGTTGTGACCATTGTGATAAGTTGTGAGCTTTTGAAGAGTTTTCAAAGGTAGAGATGATGAAAAAGAAAACAGTTTAGAATGATTATAAGATCTGAGTCAGGGCAACTAGGAGAATCTAGTTGACATTTATTAAGAAGATGAAGAAATGAAGAGTTGGTGGTCGAGGCAGGGTGGGATGAAGCATTCAGTTCTTTACATGTTGAGTTTGGGATGATCGCCAAAGAAATGAGTGTAGAAAGAGAAGACGAAAGGGCCCAGGGTTGGACCCTGTAGCCCTGCAGCATTAGCAGCAGGCAAGATGAGGAAGCTTCAGCAAAGAACCTGGGAAAGTGCCAACAGACAGACTGGATGAGACTACATTATTTCATTTGTCCATCTGTGTTTTCTGATTTACTAATAAGTATGCCTTTCTTTAGTAATAAAAACAATTCTTCAAAAAAACTCTATTTCAAAGCATGGGAGACACAAGAAAATTATCACAAAAACAAAATAAGGTGCCACAAAATCATCTTTGAATATGTTAATAGGTAAGATGTTTACACCATCTTCACATCACATTCCCCCACTTCATTCATGTCTGTGCCCAAGCCCTCTTCTCTGAGGGGCTTCCTGACAACCCTATTTGTTCTTTTACTCTGCTTTATTTCCTTTCTGTTATGACTTAATACATGTTCGTTTGTGTATTTATTGTCTATCTCCCACGCTAGGCAAAACAGAGACAATATCTCGTTCACAGATGTATCCCCAGCTTCAAGAATAGTCCCTGGCACAGACAGGCCTCAAAATTATTTGTTGAACAACAACAAAAAAAAACAATCCAATTAAAAAATGGGCAAAGAACTTGAATAGACATTTCTCAAAAGACATACAAACGTCCAATAAGCACATGAAAAGATGTTCAACATCACTAATCATTCAGGAAATGCAAATGAAAACCACAATGAGAAACCATTTTACACCCATTAAGATGGCTATTATAAAAAACAGAAAACAAGTGTTGGCGTGAATGTGAAGAAATTGGAACCCTGTGCGTTGTTGGTAGGAATGTCAGATGGTGCAGCCACTTTGGAAAACAGTATGGTGGTTCCTCAAAAACGTAACATAGAATTACCATCTAATCCAGCAATTCTACTTCTGGGTATAGACATAAATGAATTGAAAGCAGGAACTCAGACAAATATTTGTATACCAACATTCATAGCAGCATTATACATAATTGCCAAAAAGTAAAAGAAACCTAAGTATCCATCCAATTATGAATGTATAAATGTATATCCGGGGTAGATACATACAATGGAATATTATTCAGCCTTACAAAGGAATGACGTTCTGATACAGGCTACAACGGGAATAAATCTGGAAGACATTATGCTAAGTGAAGTAAGCCAGACACAAAAGGCCGAATATTATATGAGTATACTTACACGAGGTACCTAGAGTAGTCAATTTCATAGAGTCAGAAAGTAGAACAGTGGTTGCCAAGGACGGGGGGAAGGAGACAAGGGGGAGTTTTTGTTTAACGGGTACAAAGTTTATTCAGGTTGGCATGATGAAAAACTTCTGGAGATGGATAACAGTGATCGTTACACGACAATGTGAATGTATGTAATGCCACTGAGCTGTACACTTAAAAATGCCTGAAATGGCAAGTATTGTGTCATGGATGATTTACAATTAAAAATATTAAATTTATAAACATTTTGTTTAAAAATTTGAGTGAATGGATTTTTTCTTTTTAATATTAAAATGAGAATTGTAATAGTCGATGACAAATTATAATAACAATGCTCCCCTCCTCTCATGACTCGTTTTCTGGGGTTTTTTTGTTTGTTTGTTTGTTTTTAGTTAGAGTCTCACTCTGTCTCCCAGACTGGAGTGCAGTGGCCACTCCACTCCCGGCCACTGCAGCCTCGACCTGCTGGGCTCCGGAGATCCTTCCACCTCAGGCTTCCCAGTAGCCAGAATTACAGGCGTGAGCTACCACGCCTGGCTGATTTTTTGATTTATTGTAGAGATGAGGTCTCGCCAAGTTGCCCAGGTGGGTCTCGAACCCGCGGGCTCAGGCAATCCACTCACCTCAGCCTCCCAAAGCGCTGGGATTACAGGCTGAGCCACCGAGCCTGGCGGTTTTCTGTTTTAACGACCATTCTAGGCATATTACTTATTACAAGATGCCTCAAATCTTTTTAGTAGTCAGGCAAGACTACAAATTTTTTAAAATATGAATTAAAAAAGCGAGAGGAGATGAAGCCTTGGGGTCTCCCCCTTGTGGAGTTAGTCACTTCATGTTGGAATTCCAAGGCCTTCCATCACATCTCCATTTTGCACCTAAGGCAGTTTATGGCGATTTGCTTCTCTCTCGGTTTTTCTCCATAGTCTACGTGCTAAAGGCAGACTACATCTTGGTCAATCCTGTTTCACCCAAAAGTGGCAAATTCACTGGATCGACAATAAGAGGAATGAGTCTTATTCTGCCCTAGAAGATTCTACATTAGAAGGGTGGTTGAGAGAATAATTTTGAGGAACAGCAATGGGAAAGAAGGTATTGAGTAATTCCAATACTTTCCAAAAACCAAGAGGTCAGGCCAATTGCAAGGAGAAAGGGAGCAGGACTGGGTCAGGGATTTGACGTAAATGCCATGTCTTCAAAACGATTCTTACTTTCTGTGCCATCTGCTTCCAGTTGCTCTTCTCTGGGTTTCTGTTTAAATTTCATGTTTCCAAAGTGCATGATGGCTCCAGTGAGTTTATAGCATCCATACTTCTCATCAGGAAGAAAGCCCAGGATGTCCATGGCTTGCTGTAAAAAGAGAAACAGATGGCCCTGTCTTCATTTGCCTAATGGCTGCAACCAGCACCTCACCCCCACTGTGTCATACCTCAGGCTGTGGGCTGCAGGGGAATGAGACAGACAGCTCTGTTCAAAGTAATGCAAATCAACCCTGTGGGCACTGGGTCACCTGTAGTCTGCTCATCCCTTTACAAAAGAGTATTGGCCAGGCACAAGACAAGGCTTGTTTAGTCTCCAGTAGTTTTAGAAACTTCCTTCAATGCCCTGTCCCTCTCGTGTCCCTTCCAGCATCAGATCCGAATTGGCTGCATGGGGTCAATTATTTTGTCTCTCATGGTTATAACAGAAAGCATCAGATCTGTTGGGTTGCTTATTTCTGTGATCCCATATGTTCTCCTGACTTTATTCCAGAGCAGACAAATTTTAAAGACTGGCAAAAGGAAGTGTGTAAGAAACGTCACCTCACCATAGAACTGCATCCTAAGAAGCCACTGCACATGGTAAGATGTGCGTTCTCATATACTCCAGGAGGGTGAATATTAGTATAATCTATCTAGCGGTCAATTGAGAACATGAACCAAGAGGTGATAAAAAAATTCATAGTCCTTTTCTTTCGCTTCTAGGAATCTAGCATAAGGTGAATCTGATAAACGGAAAAAATATTCCCTACAGTGGCAAGGTGGATGAAGTGACAATAAACTTGATTCTAACACTAGGGGAATAACTCAATACACAGTAGGAGAAAGGCCTGATACAATCTTAAGGATTCATGCAAGTGTTTACAAGGAGTTTGTAATGACATTTCAAATGCTTGTAAGATTAAATTGAAAAAGTAGACCCTATATTCCATAGAGTATAAACAGTATGATTGTCATCTTTTGTTTAAAAAAAATGCTAAAATGGCCATACAAAAGTCACCTCAAATAGATACAAACAGAATAAAGTCTATAAAGATATACACGGAATAAAATTGGATTTTGACCATGGAGTTGAACCGTCTCTCTTCTTTTGCATATGTTCCGAAGTTACTATAATGACCATGTGCACTTTTACAATAATGAGGCAAACTCTGAACAGAAGCAGCCCTCCACCTCCAGGGGAAGGTCTCCAGGTCCCTGAAGAACAGAGTTCTCAGATGCTTTCTTTCATTCCTCATTGCCATTACCAGACGTTACATTGACAACGAACAAGTCTTACTTGTGTGGCCCGCAATTCTTCAGCATCATCCAAGTTCTCCACAGCAACTACGCCACAGGAGCAGAAGTGAAAGTCAGAGGGGTCTGCAGACACCAGGAGCATGTCTACAGTGGGAAAAGCATCCGTTAAATAGCTTATAGAAATCCGCAAGGCCTTAGAAAATAATTGACCAATATTCACAGTTTACCCTTACAGCTTATAGCATTCTTATAAACAAGCCAAAATAAAATCCATATTTCAGACCCAAGCCTCTGCAATCAATTTTTGCCCTCTATTAACTTGTCAGTCATGTGTTAATGCCTCCCAAGAGAAGCCCAGGCTGGCCAAATCCAAACACAGATTCAATTGCAGCAGCTTGAATTGGTGTGAAAAAAATAGATAATAAGTGTTGGCAAAACTTTGAAAACAGGAATTTGGCCTAGATTCATGACTAAGGGCTGGAAGACAAAAATATTTTGTAAAATTATAAGTAGAACAGACCCGAGCTTCAAAAACTAGAAAGCAGCCAGACCCTGGGGTCTGCACGCAGGGTAACCCTGTCACATCACGTCCTCGCTATTAGAAGGCTGAGTCTGTCTTTCAAGGGATCCATAAATCAACTACAGTGTCCAACACTGCACCCTGATATGTCTAAGACTCCTGACATGATTCACTTAGTCAGGAAACATAATGCGGGCTGAAGCAGAGGCGGGCTGTCAGTGCACATCACCAACTGACTTGGCAGAATCACATTAACCGATTACTGCCCAACACTTGCTCCCAAGGAAGGTTTTTTGAGCTGGTCTTATTTTTCTGTTGATTGCTCAGTGAAGTGAAAACCTGCTATCCCGAACCCCAAATCTCAAAAACAAAGAAATTGGGCTTCACAAATGTTCATAGAAGCTTTATTTAGAAACAAACCCAATGTTCATCAAGAGTTGAAAGGGTTAGCAAAGTGTTGTATATCCATACAGTGGGTTATTATTTAGCAAACCAAGGAATACATGATGAATATATGCTACAACATAGTAGACTCTCAAAATGATCATGCTGGGCAAAATAAGCCAGACAAAATTGATATATACAATATGATTCTGTCTTGAAAAGTTCTGGAAGGAAGATGAATCTGATCTATGATGACAGAAAGCATATTAGTGGTGACCTAGGGACTGGGGTTGGGGGGAGGGCTTCAAGGGGCAAGAGGGACAGATTATAAAAAATCTCAAGGACACTTTTGAATGGATACGTGCATTATCTTGATTGTGGTGATGGTTTCCCACATATGTAATATGTCAACACGTACCAGTTATACACTTCACACATAGGCAGTTTACTTTAGATCAATAACAATTCAACCAAGCTGTTAAATAAAACTTAAAAAAGAAAGAAAGAAATTGGGCTAGCCCAAAAGAAATCAAGCAGAAGGCAGATACATGTATTTTAATTAAAATATTCATAAAAGTTTTAAAGCATTTGTGTAGATGATTTTATTTTTTAATTGATAAATAAAAATTGTACATATTTATTGTGTACCCCATGATGTTTTGATCTATGTATACTTGTGAAATTATTTATTGTACCTAATTACTGTATTCATTACCTCACATACGTATTTTTGTGATGAGAATGTTTAAAATCTACTCTTAGTAATATCAAATATGCATACATTGTTATCAACTGTAATCACCATATTGTACAATAGAGATTCTGAATTTATTCTACTTTTTTCAACTTTATATATATATATATATATATATCACATTTTCACGGACACTTAGCTTGTTTTCTATCCTGGCAATTGTGAATAATGCTGCCACGAACATGGGACTGACTTCCTTTCCTTTCGATGTATTCCCAGTACTGAGATAACTGTATCATATGGTAGTTCTATTTTTAATCTTTTGAGGAATCTCCATACCATTTTTCATAACGGCTGTACATTCCAAGCAACCGTGTACAAGGATTCCCTTTTCTCCACACCAATCCCTGTTATCTCTTGTCTTCCTGGTAACACCCATTCTAACAGGTGTGAGGTGATACTTCATTGTGTTTTTTTTAATTTGCATTTACCTGATGATTTGTGATATTGAGCCTTTTCTCATAGACCTGTTGGCAGCTATTTGTATGTCTTCTTTTGAGAAATGTCTATTAGATTTCTTACCCATTTTTTAATCAGGTTGTTTTCTTGCTATTAAGATGAGTTCCTTGCAGCACTATTCACAATAGCAAAACCTGGAACCAACTGTGCTGCCCATCAAAACTGGACTGGATTTTTTTTTTAAAAAAGTGTCTGTAATCCCAGCATTTTGGGAGGCTGAGGCGAGTGGATTGCCTGAGCCCGTGGATTCAAGATCAGCCTGGGCAAGTTGGGAAGACCACATCTCCACAATAAATAAAAAATTAGCCGTGTGTGGTAGTGTGCACCTGTAGTTCTGGCTACTTGAAGGCTGAGGTGCAAGGATCGCCAGAGCCCAGCAAGTCGACGCTAGGGTGGCCGTGAGCATGCCACTGCACTCCAGCCTGGGCGACAGAGTGAGACTCCACCTCAAATAAAAAAAAAAATGTGGTACATATACACAATGGAATATTACGCAGCCATAAGGAAGGACAAGCACAAGGACTTCACAGCAACTTGAATGGATTTAGAGTCTATCATACTCAGTGATCTATCACAAGAACAAAGAACTGAGGGCCACCTGTTCTCGCTCATAAGCGGACCCTGAACATTTACCATAATACTATAAAAAAGAGATTGACAGTAGTGGGGTACTGTTGGCATGGGAAGGGGGCACACAACAACAAAATGGGTATCTAATCTCAAACCAGGCGAAATGAGGACCAAAGGGAGACCCAAACTTTCCCTGTATGATGTCCACTTAAATACCTAATCCTGAATTGTACTGCACATCTTTACAATATATATATATTTTTAGAAAGATGAGTTCCTTATATATTTTGGATATTAACCCCTTTTCAGATATACAGTTTGCAAATATTTTCTACCATTCATTCTGTAGATTGACTCTTCACTATGAATGATTGCCACATATTTTATGAAGTGAGTGCTCAGGATAGGAGACAAAATGTCATGAATTTTGAGTCAAGGACCTCTTAGTCATCGGAGTTTATACACTAGTTGAATAGTAAGAATGGGTACAATAAATATCAAAAAAGTCAAATAAAAGAAGAGGAAAAGGAAGATATACATAGGATCATGTTATACAGGTGGCAGTAAAAACTGAGGACTTAGAAGGCGCCTGTCCAAGGGCAGGTGAGTCTTAGCTTTGCTGAGAAAAAGAGTCAGACTTAACTGAGAGAAAAAGGGAGGAGTGTTTGTGGCTATGTCAAGGCCGGATGGGGGCTGATTCTGGCTAATATATCACCTTGTGTCCTTGGTTCCTTCAGTGGGCAGTCAGCCACTGTGTTGTGATTTTTTTTTTATATGCAATTTTTTTGTAGTATAAAAGAATAAGACCCATGCTCATATTTCAGGAAATTCGGACATAATCCCCATATTGCTAAGATGCGTCTTCTTGTATTAATCCTCAGGACACTCTGAAGCGCTTATTTGGCAAATGTGAATGGAAAGAGTTCCAGATCATCTTTCAAAATGTCCCCCAAAGGGACAATGAATGCTGAAAACAAGTGGACCGACAATACTCAATTTTGACCACCAGATGTCAGTCTTTGCACAGTAATCAATAACAACAGCCCCCCCCCCAAAGACTCAAGTGAATTCAGGATAGGAATGAATTTCCCGCAGCAACCGCAGACTTCAGACAGTTGTATTAGTAAACAGAGATGTCCCCAAAAACCTTATGGTTGCCGCTGGTACCCACATTAGACCCTATCTGTCAGATTCCCTACACAGCATAGAAATATATGTCAAGAATGTTGGCGTTGACAGAGCTAATCAATGGAAGCCCAAAAAAATCCCTTCCAGGTTTAAATGGAGGGAGGGTGGGGAGGAGGAAACTGCTGTTTACATGGCACCAATGACAGCTGTGGGGAACAGAACTGTCTAGTTTTCAGAGCTTTCTCCAGCTGGTGGGGGTACTTTGAAGACACCAAGCAGTCAACACGCTGCCTGATTTATGTTCTACTTAAACTAAGCACAATGGACTGGGGGCATTGATTGCCCCCATGAATTTGCTAGCCTAGATCTGCAGCCTCAACCCACATCCACTCCCGTGGGAGCACTATTGTCCTCAATGGCTGATTTCAAATGCTGTACCTTTGAAATTAAATCAGCTGGCCATTCTCCCCTTCCAAAGACTTCTCATAGCACTTAAAATTTAAACTCTCTCCACCACAGTCCGCAAGGTGGGTGCTGCATGTCCCACCGGTCTCCTCTGATGTTACCCTCCCCACTCTCCAACCCACAATGGCCATTGTGCTAGGTCAAGAATAAACCAATGCAGTTCTGCTTCAGGGCTTTACACTCACCGTTCCCACCGCCAGGAATTTTATGCCTGGACATTTTTTACTATTTTGCTCCTTCACTTATTCGGGTGTCTGCAAAAATATCACCTTCTCAGAGAGAAATTGCCTGACCATTTTATCTAAAATACAACTATTACGCAACCCACCACACCCCAATTCCCTCTATCCTCTCACCCTACTTGATTTTTCTTTATAGACCTACCATATAACCTATAAAGAAATAGGATATATTCTTTGCTTACTTGCCTGTTACCTGTTTTCCACATTGGACTTCAAATTTATGAGGCCAGGAACCTGTGTGTTGTCACCACTGTATCTTCCGTGATTAAAAAGCAATGTCCAGTACATACATAGCAGCCCCACAATAAATATTTGTTGAGTGGATACATGAAATTCATCCTCCTACCCCACAATTTGCTTTTCTATTTCTGTTTATGAAACAACAGTTATCCTAGCCAAGTCACAAAACTTGGGGGTATTTTTGACTTATTACTCTCCTTTATTTCTACATGCAGTCACTGCCAAACCTGTCTATTCTTCCATGAGTTCATCTACTTCCTCCCCATGCCCACAGACACTACCTTAGATCACTGTCTCATCATCTCACACCGGGACTATGGCATTCCCTTTCATCTAATATCTCTGCCTCCAGACCATGCTGCCCCTCACACCAGCTTAATCGTCCTCAACACTGTCTTCAGTAAATCATGACCTCCTGCTACCCCACCCTGCTCCCTCAACACACAGACACACACTCTCTGCCAAGTCTCTGAGTTCAATAACCCTCGGAATGAAATCTCCCTTATCCCTCCATGTATGCCCTTGTCTTCAGTTAATCCGGTCTCTCTGTTCCCAGCTCTTGCTTTGTCCTTTCCTGACATTGTGTCCACTGTTTCTCCTACCGGAAATCACCTCTTCTCTTCCCTGTGTCTGGCTAAATCCCTTTTTCCTTCTTCATATCCCAGCCCAAGTCCCTCCTTCTTTATGAAACTGCCGTTGGCCACCACCCACCATGGCGATGTTGCTCTCCTCTGGCCCTTTGTCTGTACTACCCATGTGGGTCTAATTAATTAAAGTTTTCAATTATTCAGTGTTTTTATTCTCTCTCTCTCTCTCTCTTTCTCTCTCTCTCTCTCTCTAACTGGTTCCATTCTCTACGTTTTAAAAACAAAGAAACTGAGGTCTAAAGAGACCAAGAGACTCACTAAACAGCACTTTTTTCATTCCCTGAAATTTGACTTCTCTCCCTCTCATTTTGAAATAAACCTCGGCTCTGGAATCTGACACTTACCATGAAGTTCTTTGTTTCCAGACAGAATTTGATAGAATATGTGGTAGTTCCTTTCTCCCAACTGCTGGAAAATCACCCGAGATTTTTCAAGCAAATCTGGATGATGAGAAGTGGATAAAGATTCACACTTAGATGTTCTTGAAAAACGTAGAAAAAGAAAAGTAATCAGACAGTGCAATGGCTACTTACAGATCTCGATGTCGACAGACGACAGCGTGCCTCTGGCACCAAAGTGCATCCTGATGAATTTGCCCTAGGTGAACACAGAGAAGCCCTCCTATTCAAACTTCCAACAGTTGCAATGACTTCACAATACATAACACTCAAAGTGACTACCTCCCAAATTTTTTTTAAAAGATGCAACATGAATTTGAGATGAGCTGGCACCAGCTAATGTCTGGAAAGAGCCAGAATGATTGTCAGAAAACTAGCAGTGGTCCTGGCATCTAGCCCCAAATCTGCTCATTCCTACCCTGTGTATTCTTGTATGCATTGTGAAGTGGGCCTCAGTGTTACTATCTAAAAATTAGAAAAATATTGGCTCAGCATATTTTCATCCATTCAGCAAACATTTATTGAGCATCTACTATGATCCAGGAAACCTGCTAGGCATTGGAGATAGATAGCACCCAAGAAAAAGCAGGCATGGTCTCTGCCCTCATGAAGCTTCTATTCTAGTGGGTGAGCAGCGGCCACAATAGCTCTGGCATAAATCACAAGATAAGCTGTTGTCTTGGAGCTTAGCAAGTAAGAGAAAAGGGAGCATAAAACACAGTCTGGGAGGTAGACAGGTACACATCATGTTGGCCGTGTAAAACACAGAAAAGAGTAGGGATTTATTTTATGTGTGCTCAGGGGACACTGGGAGGTTTTAAGCAGAGGAGTGATGTGACCTGATTTATGTTTCAAAACACACCTTGGCGTAATTAATAGATGGGCACACTTTCTTTCTTCTCAGCGAAAAGCCATAAGGCAGGATCGAGTGGGACAGAAACACTGTCCAGAGGTGACAGTGCCCATGTCAGAATGCCAGATGTAGCTGAGGAGGCCATCTGGTGACAGCCAGGGCCTGTGGGATGAGCTATAGCCTGTGCGATGTGGATGCCGGAGCCGAGAGGAAGGCAGCCAGGTGGGGGTAGGCCCTTGCCAGGGAGGCAGAGCACGACAGCAGACTGGCAAGGAAAGGAGAGTGGGAGAATGGCCATGTATGGAGATAGCGAATCAGTAAGTTAAAAATGTAGGTCAAGGGGAATCACACAAACACACACACACACATATTCACACATACACACACACACATATATATATGCAAATATATATGAACACACATACATGTCTACACACATATGTATACCTACATAGATAGCATTAATTGCAAACATTTCATGTAGATTTCTTGAACATCTTTTTCTCTCTTTTCTCCTCCCCTCTTTCCATCCTTCCTTCCATTTATCCAACTTCATGTTTATTTTGCTCTGCTTCCTTCCTTCTAATCTTTCGACCTTTTTCTTGTCCTTATTCTCTTTCAAGTGCTTTTTTTCCCTCCTTATCTTTCTACTTGCTGTTCTTTCCTTATTTTCTTTTACTTTATTTTCTTTTTTCCTTCCTTTCTTTAATTTTCTTTTTCCTCTCCCTTTCTTCCTTTCCTTTTTTCCCTCCTTCCTGGCTTCTTTTAAGCTTTCTGTCTATCGTATTTCAGCAGAAAGCTTATTAGCATTCTAACAAATTCCAATCCAGCAGTTTTTGTATGGACCAGTATCAGTACTCACTATGACCAGCCAGACATTGCGAGCAGATCTAAGGGTAGACAGAGCAGCTCTCAGGCTTTGGATGGAAACTAGCCAAATCAGCATGGCACTATTATTTAATTATGCCCAGAGATTCAAACAGGAAGCCTTCTGCAAATTTCCTTGTAAATTCTATAGTGGCTCCCTGCCACTCATCCTTGGCATAAAATGGATTTGTTAAACTAGGTTTTGAAAGCCAAATTATTTCTCTGTCATGGGACTTATATTTATCAAAAGCTACTTACAAATCCTTTTTCCCAATTAAAAAAAAAAGTCTCCAGTGAAAAATATGCAGGGGTAGGGAGGCCATAGGAAAAAATAGAAACAATAATTGTAGTAAGTAAATTAGAAAGTGCCTACTAAATTGACTTACAAGGAGTATAGGAAATTATGAAGGAAAAAGTATTTCAAATCTGTAAAATGTAATAAAATATAAAGCATTATTATAATTTGTTGGGTGAGCTTCCCTACTGGGACTGAAAAGGAATTAGAAACTATTAAGATAAATACTTTCTTCCTGAAACTGACCAAATAGAAGCTTCTTAGACATATCTTTATATGTAGTTCTAATTGTCTTAGTGTTGAAGCAGTGAGTTTTCTTGAGAAATCTAACAACCTTATAGATTTCAATCAAAGATCTTCGGTGTTCTAGAGTCTTTTTCATACCTATGTGTCAAGACACGAGTTTTCCCATTGCTTAAAAATTAAAGGCTCTGATATTATGCTAAATTACGTTACTTACAAAACGAGAGGAGTTATCATTTCTCAGGGTTTTGGCATTTCCAAATGCTTCCAAGATAGGGTTCACATGCATGATTTGATCTTCTAAAGTCCCCTGAGATACATACAAGAGAAGTGCAACTGATGAAACTTTTAATTCTGTAATGTGGCAAGCCCTCCTCCCCAGGTCAAACCGCATTCTTGCTTTGATAATCAGTAGCCAAAAGCTGCTTCCAAATTTGGTTATAAAATATTCTCTTGGAATGGAAATTACAAAAAACAGATGGTTGAAAAAGATTGACTTAATATATGATGCCCCATCAATATAAGGGAGTTCATTTATTTGCCATGCTTCTTTTAGTTGGCATTGGCCTGCATGGGAAAAGAAAATGGTTATTCACCAAATAAACAAACAAGCAAATACTATAGCCTATTTCCCGATAAACTTCATTCCACGTTTCCCCCTTTGCTAATCTTCCTCTTTTCTCATCTAATCCTCGTGATTAGAAATTTATTCTATGATAGTAAAGCAGATTTAATATTATTCATTTATCGTTTTGCTTGTTACTACTCCTGAGTAACCTAGAGGTTCACACCAAGCAGTGATCTCTAATAATATTGATACTGAATTTAAATTATGTGCACTTAGGACGAAAACAGTTCATCTACACAGTTAGCCTAAATGGCTACCTAACACCCAAGTAGCAATATGGTTTTGTTGTTTCCCGGTTAGCCTCAAATATCCATTTTATAAGGGGAATTATATGGTGTGTGGTATCAAGAATTTACAGACTTACAAATATTATATTTCTTCTAAGTAATATGGGTCTACTCTCCTTCAAATAAGGACATTTGTATATGAGCAAAGATTTCCAAAGACATGTTATATATTTTGTCATAAGATTCAGTGGCTAGACCAAACCAATAACACACATCAAAAAACAAACTAAAATGTACATAAAAACAAAATTATAGCTAGTGAATAATAGAGTTCAATAATACCTAAAGAAATCAACAAAATTTAGGAATGGGGTGGTTGGAAAACAAACTTTTTATAGTTTAAAAATTAGACCAGATGACTATTTTGATATACTTCTTACTTGCAAAAACAGCAGGAAACATCCAGGATTGAATTTAAAGAGCAAAATAATGTCAGACATGAAATATTAGAGATCTAACAGCTCGATAACTCATTGATTTTTAGTTCCACTCAGCATTACCTAATTTTATTTTGCATATTAACTTTCATGGTCTAGTTATCCCCAAATTATTACAAAGACCACTACCAGTTAATGGAGCTAAACAAAGTCAACTAAATTAAAAATTGCCAAGGATAAAAAAATAAATAGAGAAGAAAAAGTTTTTCAGAACATGGGATGTGATTTAAGTTGAGGCTATGTCCCTTGGGCATTTGGGATTTGCTCCCATAGTTAAGAATGAAGGAAGCAGACTTCTATTGATGCACATTTGTGGACGTCTAATGTGTCATGGTAGATAGAGGGACTCAGAACTACCCAAAGCATTGATGTTCCAGCCTTTAGGTAACGTGGTTTGTATCTTGCAGGCATAACTTTCAGGTCCAACAAAGATCAGGCTAGTAAATGCTCCTTGAAGCAAATCTGAAACAAATTATTTAATTCATGGTTTTGTGTTATTGGTTTGGAGCATTTGATGATCCTCTCAAGAGGCAAAAGAAAGATGAAATAAATAAAGAGACTTTTCTATAATGTGTTAATTATTCTTTGGTTCTTGTTGCCTCCTTGCTCCCCATAAGTGGTCATGGCAGAGCTCCCATGATCCAGCGGATAGGGCTACCTCATCTTTTTTGCCAAGATATGTGAACTTACCGGCTTTTTCTTAGGTTCACTTATGGCTGCTATGGTGGCAAAATACTGGATAATATGTTTGGTGTTCACAGTCTTTCCAGCACCAGATTCTCCTCTGTGATTTGAAATTCAGCGACATAGTTAACTGGTTCTGATCATCAACACAATGAAAAGTAATTTTGATTATGTAGGCTAAGACAAGCAGGGAAGATTTCATAGAAAAGTGGAACTTAAGACAAGGTTTGAGGATATGTAGATATTTCATTGGGAAAAGGAGAAGGACATCTCAGCCTGGTAAAATGGCATGAGCAAAAATCTGGAGTTCAGAAAGATCAAGGACTTTTATAAATGAGAGAAGCCTGTTTCTCCTCATGGTCCTATTAACAAAAAGCAAGATAATATCTCTATTGATTCGAGACAGGTCTTCTTGTTACAAACTATTCAAGAGATTTTAATGTATGAAGTCTACTGCACAGCCAAGTCCAACCCTTTTCTTAAAAGAAGACCTACTAATCATTTCACCAGGGAGTTGGGCTTTAAATTTCCCCTTTACCTTTGACAACCAGCTAACTTTTTGTTTGTTTGTTTTGTTTTTTCTGAGTTGGAGTCTCACTCTGTCGCCCAGGTTGGAGTGCAGTGGCCGCTCCCGGCCACCGCAGCCTCGACCTGCTGGACTCTGGCAATCCTTCCCCCTCAGCCTTCCGAGTAGCAGGAATTACAGGCATGCACTACCACGCCCGGCTGATTTTTTTATTTATTGTAGAGATGAGGTCTCGCTGCCCAGGCGGGTCTCGAACCCGCGGGCTCAAGCAATCCACTCACCTCAGCCTCCCAAAGACGTGGGATTACAGGCTGAGCCACAGAGACCGACTCTGCTAACTTTTTAATGTGGGAAGAACACAGTGGTGAATTTATAGGCTTATCACCCAATGCATCATAGAATCAAGGCCTGCCTTTGTATATTTAAAACTTTAGAAAACAGTGTATCCTCTCTGCAAATGGTTGAACTCTATCTAACCCTAAGGTTCTGAGTCATCATGTTTCCTCTTGGGATAGTTGAAGCCAATGGAGAGTTCAACATGCAAGATGACATTGTATAGAAAGACCAAGGACTTTAGCACTTCATAGCCCCTTGGATCTCAGCCACTATGTTGACAGTTTGCCTGACCTGCTAGTACCCTTTAATAAACAATAAGGTATCACTGAGGCCCTTTCCTTCCTTCCTCTTTACCTCCTTTTCTTATCCCTCTGCACCTTGGCCTGCTCCAATATGGATGCCACAAGAGCATGGTATCTATTCCTTGGTCATACCCAACTGGACTTTCAGCCTTTCTGCTTAACCATCACAGAGGCCTTTGAAGATGATCATTTGGGACAGTGAGTCTTTCTCACTCACCAAGAAGGTGAGACTAACTTGTGCACTAAGGTTTCTAAAGGAGCTCTTAAAATGTCAGAAGTAGATTAGCTGGAATAATTACTGACCAAAACATTATGATAATTGCCTGAGTGATCTAGCCTTGCTTCTTCTGCATCTAAAGGGCCAATAATTCAAAGAGTGAATTTAAGTTGAATTCCCAATAGGTATCTGTTTCCATCCAAGACCTGCCTGGGCAACTTGGCGAGACCTCATCTCTACAATAAATCAAAATGAGCCAGGCATGGTAGCACGCGCCTGTAGTTCCAGCTACTTGGAAGGCTGAGGCGGAAGGATCGTCGGAGCCCAGCAGGTCGAGGCTGCGGTGGCCGGGAGCGGCCACTGCACTCCAGTCTGGCCGACAGAGTGAGACTCCAACTCAAAAAAAAAAAAAAAACTTACTTCAGGTCAAAAAGAAAAACAAGGTGAACACTTACGTGAAGAGTATAGACTGATTCTCCCGATCTACAAAAGAAAGGAAAATGTCAGCATATTCTTTGTTATTTTTATTTTTTAACACAGCTTACTCTCTCTTATGAATATTCTTACACTAGAGGTTTTTGTATTAGCATGAACTTATTTAAAATTTCCCTGACTGCAGTTAGAAATCAGACACTAGAGAGGAGATTTGCTCCATTTACAGTTTTTTAAAAAATACCATTTAAATGGGACAGAGTAAAATAGATTTTCTCTTGCCCTTATGAATGCCAATCATAAGAACATATAAATTTAAGGCCTATTTCTTTACTCTACATACAGATGGATAATCAGCTAACAGTTGAGATTTTTGCCATTTCAAGCCTTTTAAGAATGATTGTGTAATAACAGCTATAGAATAACATCTTTGTGTCAGACAGTATAGCAGATGCTTTAAATAAAAGCTAATATCTACCAGTGGCTTGCTCTGGGCCAGTCACTAGCCCAACCACTCTAAATACATGATCTCACTTTGATGTATGAGTTAATCGGCCCAATAACCCTAGGAGGTAGGTACTATTTTGCCCACATTTTATCCAGAAGGAAATGGAGGTGTCAAGTGATTAAATAACTGCAAAGGCCATGCTCTGCTCACAATGCCTAAGTGCCTCTTAGTGACACAGAGAAAAAGTAGATCAGATATTTTTACTTTCCATTTTGTAGGGCAGCTACTTACTGTGAAGCATATCCTGAAAGGCGTTATCAGCAACAGCAAAGATGTGAGGGGGAGCCTCTGATCGCCTCTTCCCTTTGTAGGCAGCCACGACTTCTTTCTGATACACTGGAAGCCATTTGTAAGGGTTTATGGTCACACAGAAGAGACCTGAATATGTCTAAGAAAAGATCAGAAAAGATTTCAGAAAATAGATTAGAAATACTTCCCGGTTCATCAGTTCCTCTGCTGTCAGGTAACATTTGCTCAAATATGACTTGTAAAGGAACTCAAAAGAGAAGAGCTTTTAGATTTGTGTAAAGAAGGAACTTCTAACAGGAAGAGACAGAACCAGGTTAGAGTAACATCAGGACCTGGGATTACCTCCCCTCCGGGAGACCTGCTAACTACTAAGACATCTGACACACAGAGCTTCTGAAGACAGAGGGGATGCCAACCACAGGCCTACAGATATTTCAGTAACTAGCCATCAGGCATTTAAGGCCAGAGGTGATTCTCTACATCAACAAGATTAGAAACTTGGTTTTCAGGACACCGAGAAGGAATAGCTCATGTGGGTCACTCAGTCACTTTAGTAGTTGAATTGTGGTCCCCCAAAAGATGTTTGTGTCCTAATCTCTGGAGCCTGAGAATGTGATCTTATTTGGAAAAAGGGTCTCTAGAGATGAAATTAAGTTAAGGAGCAACTTGGATGAACTCAGAGTCTATAATACTGAATGATCTATCACAGAAGCAGAGAACTGAGTATCGCATGTTCTCACTCATAAGTGCACCTTGAACAATTATCATCATACTATAAGAAAAGGATTTTCAGTTGTGAAAAATTTCCAGGGGTGGGGGGCGAGATTGGCAGTAGTGGGATTCTGCCAGGGGGAGGGGGAGGTACACCTTATCAACAAGGGTACCTGCATAATGAACACTTGTATACCTAACCCTGAATTATACCCCACATCTTTAAAATAAAAAATTTTGAAAAAAAGAAATTAAGTTAAGGATCTCAAGGTGACAGTCAGGCAGGCCTTAAATTCAGCACTTGGTGTTCTTATAAGAGATACATAGAGGAGAAGGGGATGTGAAGATGGCAGTGGCGTCTGGAGTGACCCAGCCACAAGCAAGGCCTGGAGCCACCAAAGGCTGGAAGAGACAGAAAAGGACACTCCCCTGGGTCCTCCAGAGGGAGTGTGACCCTGCTGATTTGATTTGATTTTTGGGCTTCTGGCCTCCAGCACTGTAAGAGAATAATTTCTGTGGTTTAAGCCACCGGATTTGTAGTAATGTAGTTACAGTATCCCAGGAAATGAATATAGTCACATGGTAAGCCAGAGAGCTGAGAAGCAAGCTGGTTGCATGTTATGGCTTCAATGGTAACGCGTCACTGATGCAACATCTTACCCTAATCTACTCAGTGCTGCTTCTGCTACACAGGTTCTGAGTAAATCAAAGAATGTGAACAACAACCATCACCAACTTAATGGTGACTTTTTAAAAGTACTCATTGAGTATTAACTAGATGACAGGCACTGAACTATGTGCTTTACCTACATATTTTTATTTAATCCTCCAAGCTACCACGGAGAGTCAGACATTATTATCCCACTTTACAGATAAGGCGACTTCAAGAAGTTAAGAAATTTAACAACTAGTAGCGGAGCTGGCATTTAGACACTTGTCTATCAAGCACCAAGTCTCATGCCTATTTTATTTTATTTTAATTAAATTTAACTTCATTTTAGTCAGCAGCTCACTATGTCACCCAGTATGGAGTGCAGTGGTACAATTACAGCTCACCGCAACCTCAGCTTCCTGGGCTCAGGAGATCCTCCTGCCTTAACCTCCCAAGTAACTGGGAATATGGGCATCTGCCACCATGCCCAGCTAAGTTTTTGATTCTTGGTAGAGGCATGGTCTCGCTGTGTTACCGGTGCTAGTCTTGAATTTCTGGGCAATCCTCCCACCTTGGCCTCCCAAAGTGCTGGAATTACAGGTGTGAGCTATCCTGCCCAGCCACTTCAAGCTTTTAATTTAGCATGATGACCTGTGGCAAGAGACATAAATGCCGACAAAATACAATTGGGGAAATGCTAAGATAAGGTCCCTCCCCAGCACACGTTCCTTAGTGGGTATCCCCATGTGAGTACGCTTAAGTTCAACTTAAGAGATAACCCACAAGAGCCTGGGACTTAAGCAGTGTGAGTGACAGCATGATAGTTCAGCCGTAAAGCATATTACACACATAGATCATCCAGTGGTCATAGCGTCCCTTCAGGGTCTGCAGCACAGATGCTTCACTGAGGTGAGTCAGCATTGCCATGTCTTCAATTATTTCAAGCTTTGGAGGATTCATCTGCTGGATTTTGTCCTCCTTGACACGCAGACTCTGCAGAGAAGAGATAAATATGTTATATTAGGGAGGACTCCCCCCACCCCCGCCAAGAAACAGAATTATCTTTTGGAGGGCAGCTCTTGTAGTAGATTTTCCCTGCTAGGTAAATGTTCTAGAAGCCCATTAGCATCAGTCTACCAACTAGCGTTGTTGTGAGAGGCTGCATTCAGCTTCATTGAGTTTCTTTTTGGAGAGTCAACACATTTGCCCATTTCATCATGTGTGATTTACAAGCACGCCTGCCCACACGCTGCTGAGTGTTCACCAGTTTTTGACCAAAAACTGCCATGACCCCCATGCCCCAACCTCCTTATTCACCCAATCTTGCCCTGAGCAACTTTTTCGTTTGTTTGTTTCCCTGAATGAAAAAAGTCCTCAAAGGGAAATGTTTGTCAATGTGAAGAGGTGAAACAAAAATGATCGAAGCACTAAAAGGCATCAAAATTGACAAGTTCAAATACTATTTTGGCTGGGCTCGGTGGCTTAACCTGTAATCCCAGCACTTTGGGAGGCCAAGGCAAGTGGATTGCCTGAGCCCACGGGTTCGAGACCAGCCCGAGCAACTTGGCGAGACCTCATCTCTACAATAAATCAAAAAATTAGCCAGGCATGGTAGGGCGCGCCTATGGTTCTGGCTACTTGGAAGACTGAGGCGGAAGGATCACCAGAGCCCAGTGGGTCTATGCTGGGGTGGCCGTGAGCGGGCCACGGCTCTCCAGCCTGGGCAATGGAGTGAGACTCAAAAAAAAAAAAACCAACTATTCTGAGCCGTGGGAAAAGCATCTGCATAGATATATTGTATCAAATGGAGAGTACTTTGAAGGTGACTGAAGTTTAAACATGTAAGAATAAGTACACAATTTTTTATACATAAATTCCAGGTTTTGGGGGTCCCCCCTTGTATTCTCCTATTTCTCCTATGTTTATTAATTTCCCCATGCAATATTAGAGTTAGAAAGAAAAAATAAGGTCTCATTAGGAGATAGAGCCAGAAGAGATTATGCCAACTGTCATGAAAGATACAGGTGTTCTCCCTGTCAAAACCCTATTCTTCCCTGAAGATGAAGTAAACATAGTATTTTTGTTATATTAAATTTTCTATCTTGCAGTTCCCTAATTTTGTGGCTTCTTACTGACCCTGATTCTCTTTAAGGGTCTATACATCATATTATGTATATCTGACCCCTCTCTTGCTGTCCCAACATATCTTAAAGGTTTAGAAGAAGAAACTTGGAGTGGAAGATCAAGGAGGCAGACCTTAGACTTCCAAACTTACTTTGAAACCTGTCTTCTCCCTCAAACCTTGCCCAACTACCCCAGCTTTGTTAAGTCTTACCAACTGTACTGTCTTTACATTAATACTCTTGCATATGTTGTAATAATTGACAGTGTTAGACTATTACCTCATCAGATAAGTACCTTAAGGAGTTTTAAAGTTGTCTTCTTCTGTAGTTATTAAAACACCAATTGCAATGCTTGAAACGTGATAAGTACTCAATAATTATTAATATCTTAATTAATATGGATGCATTTCTAGTATCAAATAGTTGCATGGGGTTCTTCTAAAAGGTCTCCTAACCCGTGTTCTATTGCCCTTTTCCTTGATTAATAAATATTGGTGTTAACTGATTATCCCCACTTAATCTCGGTTGGTGATGGTTTTTTTTTTCCAAGGCTCTCACATTTTATATTCTTGATTTATTCCTATCCACGGTCTTCTTTAACATCATTCTAACAGTAATTCCTTTTCTTTTGAGTCCCTTCAATTTCTGTATTTCAAGAACTCCTCATCTGCCTTCAAATGCATACAGAACATAACCAGGTCTCTTACATTTCAAAACCTCCCCTTTGCCCTGATTCTATTTTTCTGTATTCTTTCATTACCAACTTTCTTCAACCAGTAGTACTTTATACCCACTGGATTTACTGCCTTTGCTAATGTAACAAAGACCAAAGGTGGCTGAAAATGGAGTCACTTCTAACATGAGGAAGAGGAAACCTGGTGCCAAGGGGATACAGAGTAAGGCTGAAGGAATGGGACCTTCATCACATGAAACAAGGACCAGCAGGACCTTTAGACTTCTCTTTCTTTCTGCATTCATGACGTTCATGCTCTTCTTCCTATGATTTATTTTCAAAATTATAGTTGCAAGTATATTAAGTTCACAAATCACTTTATATACTGTTGAAGAGACAGTGTTTTGAAGAACGTGCTCAGAAGAGTGACCTTCACATATGGAGGTCTAATAAAATTGAGTTGAATATCATTAAGAAAATGAGAAAACAATGTACAAACCAGTAGAAAATATTTGTAAATAATATGTCTGATACAGGACTTGACTTGCATAAAGAAGGTGGAAAGAACTCTTACAACTCAATAATGAAGAGATAGCCCAATTTAAAAATGGGCTCCTTTTTTTTATAAAGGAAGTGAAAAAATAAAATGGCAAAGGGCTTGAATAGACCTTTCTCAGAAGAAAATATACAGACGGCCAATAAGTACATGAAAAGATGCTCAACATCATTAGTCATTAGGACACTGCAAATTAAAATCACATGAAAATACAATTTTATAGCCACTAGAATGGCTATAATAAAACATGTTGGTGAAGATACAGAAAAATTGTAACCCTTATATGTTGCTGGTAGAAATGCAAAATGGTACAGGCACTTTGGGGAAAAGTTTGTTAGTTCCTCAAAATGCTAAACATAGAATCACCATATGACCCAGCAACTCCACTCCTGGATATACACCCTAAAGAAATGAAAGCGTACACCCACACAAAACTTACATGTGCATGTTCATAGCAGCATTATTCATAATGACTGTAATATAGAAATAACCCAAATAATCAACTGATGAACGTGCAAACAGCATATGGTATATTCATACAGTGGAATATTATTCAGTCATAAAAAGGAATAAAGTACTTATTTAGGCTACAACATGAATGCAGCTCAAACACATTATGCTAAGTGAAAGAAGTCAGACACAAAAGGCCACCTAATGTATGATCTCATTTATCTGAAATGGCCAGAATAGACAAATCTATAGAGACAAAAAGTACCTCAGTGGTTGCCTGGGGCTGATAGGAAAGGGGGAAGGAGAGTGACTGCTAATGGACACAAGGTTTCTTTTTAGGATGATAAAAATATTTAAAAATTAAGTTACAGTGATGGTTGCACAATTCTGTAAATATATTGAAAACCATGGAATTGTACACTTTAAAGTGGTGAACTATATGGCATGGCAATTTTGTCTCAATAAAGTTGTTTTTCTAAAAGTTGGCATGAACAATGATGGAAAGGATATGTTCAAATCAGCTTTCTCTTTTCTAATAAAATATTGTCTCAAGGCTAAATGGCTTTAATTGAGTCCATCTGTTCCTTTAGTTGACTAATTTAGAACATTCTGAATTTTCCTGTGCTTATCTATTTATGTTCCTGTTGAAAAGGATCGAGTTTTTAAAAATTTTGTTAGTTATATAAAATATACCTAATTTGTGTTTTCTTTTACATACACATATTGACTGTGAGAAAGGTATATTAAAATACCCTAAGTGGTAGTTTACTAGCAGCCTCCAGAATTTTATAACTCAAATGGCAATGCTTTTGATTATAGATTGTCCAAAACCAAAGATAAGATCATGAAAAAAGACAAACTTTCTTGATAACAGCTATACCCCTTTGATATAGGATGTGGTTTGTTATGGAATTAAGGGGAAGAATTGAAAGGAGTGTAGAGAAGTGAATATGGGCAGGGAGTCAACTGTAAGGAAGTGTTCATTGAATCGAGGCAGAAATGGGGTTCAGCTCACACCACAGAGTTGGCAGGTAACACGAGGTTGGTAATTGAGACAAAGGTTCTAAGAGTGAACCACCTTCTCAATAATAGCCTGCTGCACTGAATGCCTTGATGACAAGGAGAAGGGGTTGTGGCCTAACCCTTGATGACAAGGAGAAGGGGTTGTGGCTTCACTACACATTCCCTCTGTGAACCTTACAGCCTAGCTTATGCCCCAACACTAGAACTAACCTTCTCTTTCAAAAGTCATAGGTGACCTCCTAGTTCTGAAATCCAAGGTTTTGCCTCTCTTTTAGTCTCTTTCTCCAGCATTTGACGTCACTGGCTATTTCCTCAACTCTTGGCTTCTGTAACACTGTGCTATTTTTATTCAAATCATATATCTCTTCTTGATCCTACAAACACAGCTTGCTTCATAATTCCTTGGGTCATCATTCTCTCCAAAGGTGACCTTTAAAATAAAAAAAAAACTCGAAACATTGATAGAAGAAGTGAAAATCATTTTGAGTTCAAGAGTCGATGATCTTTGCCTTTGGCAATCATTTTACTCTGACTTATTCAATGGTCTTCATTAAGTCGTTGGTGGAAAGTGGAGGTGCTTCTTAAAGATGCATGAGGACTCCAAAGAGTGTCAGTGGCATCTCCTACCCCAGGTTTTTAATTAAAATATTATAGAAAGGAGATACTTAATTATTTGAATAAATAGAGAACATAGTCATCCCCACAATGAAAGAAAGATTCCTTTACCTTTCCATCTGCAGTCTCAACAATGATTGTTCCATCATCTTCAGTCCCTTTTACTTCAGCCTCAACATAAGCTTTCTCACCATCCCGGACCCAGCATTTTTTCTTCCCTGTAGAGATAAAAAAAAAAAAAAAAGATTATAACTATGATACTATACTTACAGAAATTAATACTGGACACTTTCACACTGATAGATATGATCTCATTTCTGTTAAGTTTGCTTGTTGACTATAGGAAACTGCAAAGTTAGATAAAATCATGGCAGCTTACCCTGAAGTTACACCCACACAATGACTGTAGGAACAAGAAACATTTCAGCAAGCAGAAGCTTGGGAAAGTCATAGACCATTTTGCTACAAGAAAGTTACCTGTCATCACCTGCCAAAACTGTATCCACCCCTCCCAACCCCAACACTTAACCTCCACTCAAAATTCCAGGCCCTGGGCGGTTGCCAAGGCAACCCCTTCCCGGCTCCTCTCCAAAGATACTTCACTCAGAAAGATCTGGCAACAGCTAAGTGGAAATTTAGGTTGGTGGCTATGTCCTCTGGAGTTTCTTTAGACCTTTACACCCATATATCCGCGTATCTTGGAATAAAATTCTGCTAAAAGAATTATGTGGTAGAGTTGGAGGGGGGGATTGAGGAGAGAAAATATTGGTTACTTCTATCATACAACATAACAGACATATTATTTCCCCCATATATTACTATTCTCTCTTCAGCCTCCTCGCCCCCATGTCCCATACCCAAGCAAAGCAGCCCTACAATGAAGCAATGATCCCATAAGAGGTTTGGAGCAAAATGAGCCAGAACTCTTAATGAACACCTGAGGCAACTTCTTCTCCTCTCCCATCTGAAGCAGATAGCCAGTGAAGAGGAATGAGAAATATACATTTACAAGAAAATAAGTCTTAGCAGACGCTCACAGAAGTCCCGGGTGGGGACTCCTCAGGTTAGGGGAAGAGGGAATGAGGGGAAGGGAAAGGGAAGAACATTTGGCTGGAAGAGGAAAAATGTTAGCAGATGGCTGCAGGAGACACAAGTGAAAACCCTACTCAAACACAGCGTGAAAGGTTAAGCAAACTCAATTACGGCCACCACCTCTGATGTAAATCCCAAAATCTAGAGGTCTCACTGAGGCAGGACAGGTGGCCACTCCCAGATGCTTCCCCAGAGGTGAAGTGGACAACAGGACTGGGGAAGGAAAGTGTGCTTAGAAGATGAAATTGGACACCATTCACCCTTTCTTCAGCCATGCTTGTTTCTGCAAAGAATTTGGTCACTCACTGCTTTCTTGCTATCACAATCTGCAATGTATGCTTCCTTCCTTGTTTCCCTGATTACAAGCAATTCACCCCTAAAACTGCTTGGCAAGAGAATTTTATATTTCCATCTAACTGATTGTGCATTTGGTTTCTACTTATCTTTTGTGTTTTTAAATACTGGCTTTGCATTATATTCATTATTTTGGTCCCTTTATGCAAAAACTGATTTTGCTTTGTGTTATGTCTATGAAAACATGCTTGTTTTTGAAAAGCACCCATTTAACTTACTTTCTATGTGTGTGTTTAAGGTAAATGTTCTGCATTTTAAGTCAAATGTTATTACTTGAAAGAAACTTGAAGATTGCTTCTTTCTTTCTTTCTTTCTTTCTTTCTTTCTTTCTTTCTTTCTTTCTTTCTTTCTTTCTTTCTCTCCTCCCTCCTCCACCCCCACCTCTCTCTCTACCTCTCTCTTCCCCTCAGTTTTTCTCTTTCTTTCTCTCTCTTTAGAAAAAGAATGTGGAGGCTAGGCATAGTGATTCATGCTTGTAATTCCAGCACTTTGGGAAGTCAAGGTGATAGAATTGTTTAAGCCCAGGAGTTTGAGATCAGCCTAGGCAACATTGCAAGCCCTCATCTCTACAAAAAAATCAAAAAATTAGCCGGTGTGGTGGGTGTGCACCTGTAGTCCCAGCTACTTGGGAGGTGGGGGCAGGAGGGTCTTTTGAGCCCAGGTGGTCAAAGCTGCTGTGAGCCAGGAACACTGCACTCCAGCCTGGGCAACAGAATGAGACCATGACTCAAAAAAGAAAAGAAAAAAAAGAGAGAGAAGAGAGTTGCCCATAGTCACATAGCTATTTAGTAGCAGTCATTAGAATAATGATTCTAGAAATAAATGACCCACCTTCTGAATCAGTGCTCTTCCATTGCAGCCTGCTTCCTCTGACATATCCTTAGCTTTTCCCTGCAATACTTCTCCCAAGGAGGGGGCTAACCATATGCATCATGATGGACTCTTTATCATTCCTGGAAACACTTGGTGGGAGATAAGAATTTTCAAAAAGAAAAAAAAAAAACCTTTTCTTGTGGGGAGACCCAGTTCCTGACGGGGATGTTTTTAAAGATGAAGTAAATGAACTCAGTCAACTTTTAATTTCTTGTACTCATGAACAATGCCAAGTTGGAAATGCAGGCAGCAACAGATTAAACTCAGGCAATGTGGATTTTAGTACAGGCTTTGCTAGTAACAAGATACCTTAAGCAATCACTTCATCTCTTTGAGCCTTTGTTTTCTCGTTTGTAAAGTAGGCCTCTTCCTTTATGGTTTAATATTTTTAGATGGTAAAATACCTTTTTCAATATAAAGATAGCATGTATTTATTGGGGAAAACTCAAAAAGTAGAGAAATGTATAAAGAAAAAAATGTTGTAATCACTTATCATCAAATAACTCAGATAACGACTGTTATCTATTTGAAGCATTGTTTTTTGTGGTTTTTTTGAGTTGGAGTCTCACTCTGTCACCCAGGCGGGAGGGCAGTGGCACACTCACGGACACGCCTGACTAGACCTGCTGGGCTCTGGTGTTCCTTCCACCTCAGTTTTCCAAGTAGCTGAAACTACAGGCGCATGCTACCACACCCAGCTCATTTATTTATTTATTGTAGAGGCGAGGTCTCACCAAGTTGCCCGGGCTGATCTCGAACCCGCGGGCTCAGGCAATCCACTCGTCTTGGCCTCCCAAAGTGCTGGGATTATAGGCTGAGCCACAGAGCCCAGCCTGAAGCATTTCTTTTGAATTTTTTTTAAAAAGACATTTGGTTTATACTATATTCAATGTTATAACGATTATAAACAGATTGTTCACCTGTTCTAATATAAAAATCATTTACATTTGGCTTTTGAATAGTATTTTGTCTTTATCTCTAACACCACCTGGGTTTCCTCTCTGACACCCAGCAATTCTAGTTTTCATTCCCAGGTATCATAATAATGCATTCTATTTGTTCCTCACAGTTAAAGTCTCATTTGATCCTCATAGCAATAGAGGAAAGGTGGGCAGGGCAAGTATTATTACCCCTATTTGACAGATAAGGAAACCAAGATTCAGTAAGATGAAGTGATTTGCTTTAATTACACAGCCAGAGAGATGGTCAAGGACAGGGAATGTGAACCAAGACTACTCACCAAATAATCATTGTCACACTGCTTCCATTTGACCTGAGTTCAAAAAAGCAAACTCCATTGTCTGCTACCCTGGGAAGATGAATAATTTTTGCTGACCCTTGTCTTTTTCCTGCCAGTGAATTTCTACAAAGAAGGATTGTTTGGCCAAAAATATTAATTAAAAATTATGTAGATTGCTATGTTTTAAGTAATTATTTACAGTGCTGCCTCTCCTAAATGTATCATTCAATTACATCTAATGCTTTGGCCCGATTTTGATTTTCTCTCTGGCACACTATTATCTTGTCCTCAGTTATCTAACTACCTGTGCTAAGCCTCTGTGTGACCAGCTCTGACCTCAGGGATAGTTCTGTTATTGTATTTGATTTGATGGATTATAATTAGCTACTCTAAAATCCAATCATAGTAATGAAATCCAATGACTGGAAACTGGGAACTGATCCAGGACTGGTCTGTGATAGAAATATAATATCCTACATAACTGGCTTGAACTATAATTGGTCATATTAAAGTCTAATATTGACTAATTCTGAGTAGTAGAACAACACTCGGTCAGTTTTTATGTTGTACTGTTGAATCATTTTGGAATTAAGACATGTCAGTGACTTGATGCTAGATCACACTGTGAATCTGACTTCTAAATCTTGTTAGCTGAAATTCAGGAACCGGCCATGCAGCCCAGAAATGTAAAGGGGGAGGGAAAAATAAGAAACATTTATTTAGAGATTTTATTGTAGAATTTAGCCTTTTTTTTTAAGGACTAAATCCTCATTAACCTTTGTCTTTGCCTGTAACTACCAAGAAGCTACAAATCAGGGTGAGCAAGCCTCTCAATTATCTCTTGTTTAGAGTTGCCTGAGTGACCCTGCCAAACTAGAAGACCACCAGAGGGCAAAGTTCCAACATCAGGAAATTCTGAACAGGACCAGGAACAACTTCCTTTTCTTTCTCTCTTTCTTTCTCTCTTTCTTTCTCTTTCTTTCTCTCTTTCTTTCTCTCTTTCTCTCTTTCTTTCTCTTTCTTTCTCTCTTTCTTTCTTTTCTTTCTCTCTTTCTTTCTCTCTTTCTTTCTTTTCTTTCTCTCTCTCTCTCTCTCTCTCTTTCTTTCTTTCTTTTTGAGTTGGAGTCCTACTCTATTGCCCAGGCTGGAGTACAGTGGCATGATCACAGCTCACCGCAATCTCTACCTTCTGGGCTCAGGTGAGCCTTCTGTCTCAGCATCCTGAATAACTGGGACTACAGGCACATGCCACCATATCCAGCTAATTTTTTTTTTGTTTTTGTAGAGCCGAGGTTTTGCTATGCTGCCCAGCTGGTCTCGAACTCCTGGACTCAAGCAATCCTCCTGCCTGCCCTCCTCCCAAAGTGCTAGGTTATTGACGTGAGCCTTAATGCCCAACCAATAACTTCACTTTCTACAGTCTTTCCAGTTTTTTTCTTTTTTCTTCCTTGCAGTGTACAAATTCCACCTCCAGTCTAAATCACAATCTTCCCCCTCTCTACTATGGACTTCACTAACAACTAAGAAGTTTCTGGGGAAAGACTTGATGTGTAGTCACTACTGAGGGTATCTGTATTATAATAGTGGCTTCTTGAAGAACCAACCTATCTTAGGGCCAAGTAAGGAGGGCCTGGGCCTAGGCTGCCTCCCAGCCACCCTCCTCTTCCTTGTGTATCTCCATCCCTACCCTGAACACTCAGAGTTCCTCAATTGCTCAGAGTCAAAAGTTCATAGAGGATGATCACACCCGAAGCAAATAAGGTAGGCTCCAGAACTGATAGCTCTTCTCATTCAATCAAATATCTTAGTTGCTAGCAAAATCAGAGTAGGACTTCCTTGCATAATGTGTGCAGGTCCCTGAGAAGGGTCTATGAACACCCTAAAATTGCAGGCTAGGATACAAAAGCCACTAGCTACACTTAGAGTCAGGTAAGTCTGAGAGCTTTCTCAAAGCCACCACTGAAAAGTTGGAAAATGGACTCACAGCAGAGACAACTGAGCAGGTGTTTGTGTGCTCTTGTTCCTGATTGTATTTAATATCTTCTCAAAGCAAGGCTCCAGGGACCCACCCCTCTCAAGTTCAGTTGTACCCTGGGCTTGGTCCACTGCTGCAGGAGTCTTGGGGAGCCTTGTGCACATGCTTGTGTCATTCATTCACCAACACTGAAACCCAGGATAGAAGATGTAACAAAGTGGGACTCCTTTCTTCACAGCATGTGTTGATTCTAGAGGTGGCAGCAGCCAATGTGGAGAATACTGTAACTTTTCCTTGGAACTGGACTGTGATGAGAGGTACCTGCCAGGAATAAAACCTTCTGTTGTTTCCCTGACCCTTCCCTTCCAGCTTTTTTCTTTTTTTCTTGAGTTGGAGTCTCAGTCCATCACCCAGGCTGGAGTGCAGTGGCATACTCACAGTTCAAGTAGGTGGAACTACAGGTGCACGCTACCACGCCCAGATAACTTATGATTTATTGTAGAGACGAGGTCTCGCCAAGTTTCCCAGGCTCGTCTCAAACCCGTGGGCTCAGGCAATCCACTCGCCTCGGCCTCCCAAAGTGCTGGGATTACAGGCTGAGCCACCAAGCCCAGCCCCCTTCCAGCTTTTAAATAAAGAGCTGAAAATAATCCTCTCTGAAGATGCTGGATAACAATTCCCAAAAACAAAAACATGTGCATCCAATGCACTGTGCTTTCAGATACTCTGGGTCTAGTTCAAACAGGTGAGCTGACTGATATGTTCATCCATAGCCAGGTGAGCCCATCTCCTTGACAAAACCCACTCTGTTTTTGGTAGCATGATGAGCCACCACAAGTTGGAAAGGACACAAAAACCATGACATCTCCTAGAAATACTTCCTTGGGGAAGGCAATTTCATGAATGAAATTTACAAGCAAATGACACCACACCTCCCCAGGTGCTCCTCAATCACTATGTCGTCTGTCAGAGGGACGGTCATATTCTTGACCTTGCCTTGTCCACGTTTCAAGATGAGTTCTCAGAAAGACTTCAGATTTGGAAATCCCCATTTCACATAAGACCAGGACTACTTTTCCCCTTCACAGTGGCAGATTGTGCTGCCCTTTGGATCATCTATAACTCTGGGAAATGCCTACCATTTTCCCCCTGGGATTAAGAATGGAATTTCCTGGCATCTTTGATGGTCAGTTCTCTCCTTAAATCCAGATTAGGAGGGAATGAACTGTTTTCTTGATTTGGTATGGATGACATGAGTACAATATGACTTTTTAGGCCCCAGGCACCTTGATTGACCTTTCCTTTGCATATTCTGGACTCCAGAATTATCGCCCTTTGTTGAGCTGGTAACGACGTAGGACACCAGCAACAGGTCTTCTGGGGTCGTCAATCCTGAAAAAAACTGTGTCCGATACTGCCTGTGGTTTTCATCAGTGTCCACCTCTAAGTGGGCCTTCCCTTCCTTTAGTTGCCTCAGCTTGTCATCTGATCAATTGGTGAGGATGTGCCAGGCCTAGATTAAACTTGAAAATATGCTTGACCATTGTATCTCCCTGGACCTTTGAGACCAGCTTTGCTACAATTTTGGCTCATGGGGCCCTCAGACATAGCTGTGAAATTAAGTTGAAGGTGTAACAGTGCCTTTAAATATACCAGGTTATGAGTTAATTAATTAGATTGGTTAGCTTCAGAGTTAACCTGCCAGGAATAGATGCTACTCTCATACTGTAAAGCATTGTGAAATCAGATTACTTTAAACTGATGTATCACAAAGTCAGGGGGGAAAAAGCAGTTTGTGTATGGAAGCCCAGGACTGACATCCCAGCTCTATCTTCTCTATTGGGAACAGTGTTTACAGTCTTGCCTGTAAAATGGAACTAATATCCTCTAGCCTGTCTGCCTCCATGTGATTAAAAAGATTAGGCAAAATAGGAATTTGTAACTTCTACTTCTTTATCAGTAAAAGAGGTTTCCCTTTAAAAAAAACAAAACAAAACTTAGTTGCCATCTTGAAGCAGTAAAATGAAGTGAAGTCAGCGGCCACCACAAGTCTTACCATCAAAGGTCGTGGCCTGCAGCAAAGGCAGTTCAGCCTCGCTTCTTCTGAGGAAGGCTGCGGCTTCTCCAAGCTCTGACAGATCCATCCTTCTTAAATTGAACCACCAATGTGAGTAGAAAGGATTCACTCTGGAAAAATAATAAAAAGGTACAGGGAAAAGCAAAGAGGAAAGGAGGCATCAACCCCTAAATCGGAAACCCTTCCCTAGAGACAAGGGAGTGTTTTCTTTTAATGACCTGTGCCCCTTTTTTTCTCTCTGCCATGTCTCAAATTTCTGACAAAATTGGGCTCAAGAATATATGACTCTAGTAAGGCCGACTTACCCAGTAGACACAGAAGGTGAAGTGCCTGGGACCCACAACGATTTTAGGGACCTATGACAATGGATTAATTTATTTTAAAATCAGAAGGTAAATATATTAGTGATGTATAATAATGAACCCACCCTGGATTATATTTGTCTTTATACCAATGCAGTTAAAAATCTAATTTGTAATTTTTGGGGGGAAGGAAGGGCCCTTAAGAGATAAAAGTGTCTAGAGTTAGTGAAAGTCATAATGTAACCCTGAGCCTCAGAGTTCTCACCTCGCAGGTGGTAGCAAGGGCCAGTCTGAGGAACAAGTTGGGAACACTAGGTTCCTTGACAGGGGTAAAGGGAGGGGTCTAGAAGTATCTAAAACAGTGACAATGAAGACACCCAATGTACTAACGTAATATACTGCACTTAATCTGCTCTCTTCTTCATGGTGGCTTGGGTGGGTACAGCAATACCGTTTCTGGGATCTTGTTTAGAGGAGAGAGACTTAAAGCAAAGACCAATGGCCTAGGCTAAGAGTTAGTTTTTAATCTCTGCCAGAAAAAAGTCACATGACTTGCAGGAAGTCACTTAAGCCCTGTAGGTGCAAGTTTCCTCACCTATGCAATGCAAGGACTAGTTGGAATGCATAGGGACATTTCCTGAGGTAGAGATAAGAAATGGTTCTTGAGAGAGACAGCATAAGCAAAGACCCAGAGATGAGACTGTGGATGGCATTTCTCTAGGGAAAAGGGCAACATTGATCTTTCTGCATATGAGCATTCAGATTTAGAATCTGCAATCATTATAAAGACAATATTGCCAGGCTCGGTGGCTCAGCCTGTAATCCCATGCCTTGGGAGGCTGAGGTGAGTGAATTGCCTGAGCCCGCGGGTTCGAGACCCACCTGGGCAACTTGGTGAGCCCTCATCTCTACAATAAATCAAAAAATTAGCCAGGTATGGTAGCGCGTGCCTGTAATTCCGGCTACTCGGAAGGCTGAGGCGGAAGGATCATCAGAGCCCAGCGGGTCGAGGCTGCAGTGGCTGGGAGCGGCCACTGCACTCCAGTCTGGGCGACGGAGTGAAACACCAACTCAAAAAAATAAAAATAAAAAATAAAAAAATAAAGACAATATTAATAACATATTAGATATTTGCATATCAAATGAATCAAGGTAAAGGAAAGCTCTGAAAGTGACAGAGAAATTTAGAAAGATAGTAGGAAACATCATAGACTCTACGGGTAGGAACATAAGAAAAGCATTATTTGGGGAAAATGACCCTGGTGGCAAATTCTGGGGAGACTGGAATAGGAAGAAACTGTAGTCAGGGAGACAAGTTGTGAGTCTGTGTTTGTGAGAGAATTGCACTGTATCCTCCTCCTGTCTTTATGTGTGACTTCCTGGTGGCTTGCACTCAGTAGACAGCAGAACTCAGGAGGTATATTTGGGGTATCAAAGATATCCATTAATGCGTGTGTGTACAAATATCCTGAAAAGATAGCTAAGAAACAGATATCTGTCTGAGTGGTGAGAACAGGAGATAGGTGGGAGAAGGAGAGAACTACCCTTCATTTCATTCTAGTCTGTCAGTGTGTGCTGTGTGCTTATAAGTCAAAATTAACAGATTTTTAAAAAGTAGTTCTTATTATAACATCCAGGGATAAAAAAGATCGCATCAAGACACAGAGTACACAGCTGTGTACATCTCCTTCCAAGTCAGGAACACTTAGCATATTTAAAGGTATGCAAAGAACAGAACGTGTGGGAGCAGGCAGCAGATAGCAGGAAATGGTAGGTGCCAGGAGGAGGGAGGGCCTGGCAACCATTTGGAAATGGGTAACTGCAGCCAAGAGAAGAGTCAACTAAGTAATAAAGGATCTAGAATCTTCCTTCCTACTTGGCCTCCTCCAGCATCCATTAACCCCCTGATGTCCTAATGACCTCTGGTTCCCTTAGGTTCCAGTTGCACACATGGCTTTAAAACTTTATAGACTAACACGTGTCATAGCCAAATCATATCAACACCTTAAAATAGAAAATGAAACAGCACAAATGCCCCAAAGAAGTAAACAGATTAACCTCGGCAGTGAAATAATCAGGAAGCTATATTTTATTAATGACAGAGAAATATAGATGAATACAGAGCTAAAGATATATATTTTTTTAAGAAGGAAAAGTTCATCTATATGTTGAGAAGAAATTATATCTGAGACTGGTATTTTGGTGCATGTTTGTCAAAGGACCCTGCGACCTATGGTAAACTTTTATCTGCTGTTGCATATGTTAAAGAGACAGAGAGCAGTGAGCAGGGCTGAAATGCTGGGAGGATGAGGAGAAAGGATAGGGCATAAGCACTGTCTGTAGGTTGCTGTGAGTACCTCACTGCTAGGGCCTAGGCTGCCTTTGAATATTCAGAAGCTTCAGTTATCAAAGCATGCTGGAATGATTAGGTTCTGGGAATCACGTAGCTATGCTCATAAGTATGCATATAATTCATCATCTAAACCTAGACATATTTTTTCATCATGAGACTCTTCCGAGAATGAGAGGGTGTGCTATTAATATTTAAACCAGGACAATAGACTTAATCTGAGAGAGTCCCAAGCAAATAGGGACACATGGGCACCCCACTCAAGAGAGAAATTATGATTTGAAATGATAATTTATAAGCTGCCAATGAGGGTACACCTTTTCCACAACTACAAAGTCCAGATTACCCATATGTGTGATTCACAGAGCACCTGGACAACACCTTTACTCTCAGAAAGTTGGATTCAAAGAGAGGCATTAAGTCATCGTGTGTATTATATCGTTCAGTTTGGAATACAGCAAAATAACACATCCTGTCTGCTCTAGAGTTCCCCTTTGCAGGGTCTGAGTGTCATATAAATCACACATCTTGTGTTTACATCAACATGATGAAATTTCCAGGAGTGTCTTAGTTACCAGTTAACAAGGTAAAGACAAGGAATAGGAAGGCCTTATGTGGAAGGGACGGTGATGGACCCCGGGAGGTCACACTTTCTTCAGTCCTCCTACAGCTGGCCACAGTAGTTCTATCACTCAGCAATCTTATCTCTTTCAATCATAGCTAAACAATACATGTGGGAGGAGGGTGTGAAGAAATCCTTGCCACCTTGGCATTTTAGTGCCTTAACTGTAAGCAGAAACTCACATGATGCCTATTAAGTAAATTGTGAAAAGAGTTAAATTATTTTCACATTAGCAGCCTCAACAGTCTTTCACGTTGGTTTCATCATAATTGATTAGATTCGCTTGAGTTCTTCATCAAGGTAGGTTATTTTACGTGTTTACATTCAAAGCCTTCCACTTCTGGGAAGCCATGATGCAAGTAATAAGAAGTATTAATATTCCTTTGAGTAAACAAACACTAAGCATCTCTTGACATAGCCTCTTCCATTATTAACACTGGAGACAAAGTGCCTGAAATGAGAATGGATTTATCCAGATGTCAACAGAGGAAGGGGAGAATTATCAAGCACTTAAATGATTCCAGACAAGCTGGAACATATGTCTCAAGGCAATAAATGAAACACATTCGAGTTACAAGGCCCAGTGAATGCCACAAATCTGGGGAAATGCTGTAAGATGCTGTTAATTAGGGGTACTACTGGGGTAGACAAATGATGCTGATGCTTCTTAATATTCATGCTGCTGGGATAATCTCATTATGTGCCTTAGCTCAGCAAGGTTTACTCAGTAGAAAACTCTTAAGCGCTTAGTCTTTATGCACAAATCTACCACCCCTTCCCCAGCTACAATACCTGCATTTTATTTATTTATATGCAGTTTAGGTCTTTAAAAAGCAGGGGCTTTAGGCAACCCTATTCTTTTAAAAGAGAAATGTTAAAAAGTTGAATTGAATTACAAATCAAGAGTGTTGCCCAAATTATTGGTTATTTAAAGTATTACTTCAAAG